GATGTCTTCATTTATCAGCTATGCACCTCCTCTGCCAAATCTTTCTTCCGTGCTCTGCGCAGAAGAGGTGCATTTCAGACAATTCACCTTCGTCACGTCCATCCCGAAAGTGAACACCGAAGCCCCGTAGAACCAACCGCACTTCGTATGCCAGGATGTGACGGGTGAGGCCACCGGCTGCTTCTTGTTCTCATGTACCGTTCCACTCTTCGAGAGGATGACTGGTGGTAGTAGGCCTTGATGATTGTTGGAGATCTCCTCACACTTCAAAATCGATGCATCGAGCTGATCTTGTTTGTCCTTCAGCCTGTCCAGCTCCTTCTTCAACCTCTTCTCCGTTTCTTTGCCTTGTTCTTCGCCCTTCGTTACCACCAACTTCTCCACGACCCGTTCATTTCCTCCTCTTCCTGGGTTCATACCTGCTAGGTTGATCGCCTTGTTCATCACCGGCATGGTTTCCAGGGCCTCTTCCGCATACTGTAGGATCACGTCGCTCTTCCATCTTCCCAGAAAAGCCACCTGGGGCACGCGCCAACCCCGTCTGATATATTGCAAGGCCCCTGACCTCCTGGCGGAATGCCCTGAGATGTTCTGCCCAAATAAGTTCCTCCAAGCTCCTATGATCTGGTTCTTTTCTATTATACCTTCGCTGTCGCCATGTACTAGATGATCTTCTTCGATCGGGACGTTGTCCAAAGCTGCTTTCGAAATCGCCAAAGGACAGGGCTCTGACCAGTTGCATTCCTCCGGGCAACAGCACTGCAGAGTCCTTTTCAGTCCTTTGGCTTCCTGGTCACACTTCGTGAGCCTCAGGGTCAACGCCACCGTCTTCTCCTTCTCGTTGATCACGATGTCCTCCTTGTGGACTGCCGCCAGTTCCACCTCCCGCAGCATCCAGACGGTCGCAGACCCAAACATGAGGGCTGGTCGGTGTACTGGGCCCTTCAGCTCTTCGTTCGTCTCGATCTTGCAGGCTTCCATCCACTCCACTTCCTCCACTTCAGCCGCCTTCTTCACCGGCCCCCTTGCCCTCTTCAATGCACGAGCCACTTGTCCGAATGTCCTTTGTAGTCTGTGCGACCACGTCTTGCCCGCCTCGATCAACATCTGCTTGTACTCCGATAAGTAGGTGACCCCTGCTTTATAGTCCGCTTTCTTGAGCACAGCGCCCACTCTTTCCAGTGTCTCCTCCGACCATTGTTCTGCTGTCCCCTTCGTGCCCAGGTTAAGCAGAATCTTGTTGACCGTTTTGCGCACTGAAGCCTTTGCCCTTCTAGAGGAGTTCGCATAGTACCCCTCCTTGAAGTCCTGCAGGCTCTTGTCTCGTTGCGGTCGGTTCAACCTGAAGATGCGAGCCGTCTGTATTGCTTTCTTCCACTTCTCATTCTTCTTCACCCTTTTTGTTCGCTCCGGCTCTTTAGGCATGTCCTTCCTCCGCCTCTTCTCCTTCATCCCTGAGCCTTTACCTTCGCCGCGTCCACCACGTTCGCGATGTAGCCCCCGTCTCCCCTGAGAGCCACTCGCCTTCAGCCTCTCCTCCCTTTCCGGTTTCTCTTTCGAAGTCCTCCTTCTTTTCACCAAATGGAGCAATCCCCCGCTTGATTCACTCCCCCTTGACAGCACTTCCATTGGAGGTACCGGTGGAAAACTGAAATCGAACTTCTCCCCATTCTTCGTTCAGTCCAAAGCCTTCTGCGTCACGATCTTCGCCCGGGCACACCTCCCTTTTGTCCGCGCCAAATCTCACAGCTGCCAGCTGTCCTTTGTGTTGAGCCTCCTGGTCACCAACCACTGCATGTCCCTCGACTCCCTCACGGACTCCCTCCATGGTGAGTAGTTCGCCCTCGGAGAAATCGACCTGTTGGTTGAAGTCCCTTCCAGCGCCGTGGTTCTCGTGGAAGGTGTGTCCAGCAAGTTCGGTGTTGAAGGCTCTTCTGTTCCCCTTTCCCTGCTGGCCGCGCTGTTCAGCAGGTTCCTCCATGGCTCGGGTTGGGGTTCTTCTGGCCTGGTCGACCTTCGACGTATCCCTGATGCCGGCCCCCAGTCCAGGTACGTGTCGAGATAGTCCCGTGGTTGGTCCATGTCCCAGGCTTCTTCCCACTCCTCGTCTTCGGAGTCCAGGGTGTTGTTGATGTAATTCTCGGTTGACGTCTCCGCCTTCCACCACGTCCATGGGTAACCCCGCGGAGTGTGGAGTGTCTTCCACCATGCTATGAACTTCTTGCAGCCAAGCCAGGCTGCCCCGACGTGCGTGAAGACGCCGATCACGATGAGGTAGAAAGCCCAATAGGCCAGCCATGGTGCCGGCTGCCCACCGAGTTCCTGTGGGCGGAGGACGATCGCGTCCGCTGGAGCTAACTCCATCCTTGGGCCCTCACCTCGTGCATTAACACACACAACTCACGAATCGGCTCGATCGACGACGTCGCACACCAAACCGAACTTTCAGCCTTACCTTTCAACCTCTTCCGCCTCCTCCTGTGTCCCTTTTTCAAACGATTCCTTCAGAATCTGGCCATCGAGTTAACGACAGGCCCAAGCCGCCACTAAGGCTTCGCCGTCCTGCCAGTCGGCAGTGTCGGGGCCTGGCGGGTTCAGGCGGTACCACGCTGCTGATCTTTCCTGGGGCGTCTCGATTGAAATGCCCTCTAAGGCGACCGGCAAGGTGGTGGTTGCCCAAGTATTTGGTCTGCTCAAGAAGTCGGCTTCCTTGTTGGCGACCCCAGGGAGATGCGTCGGAAGGAGGTCCGACAAGCCCAGCGCTTCGCACACCACCGCCAACTCCGCCCCCAAGAAATTCAGAGAGGCGTTACTGTTTGAGAATTTCTGAGTGAGTGCCAGCGCTGTCACGGAGTCCGACTGTACCCCGATTGCCACGTTCACTGCGGCCAGGAGCTTACCCCAGTGTTTGAGGGCCACCAAGATCGCCAGCGTCTCTGCAATGCCCTGCGAGCTTGATTCGCCCAATTGGAAGCCCAGCAACTTAGCATCCATCTCGTTGATGGGCGATGCCAATGCCTTCGTGACTCTTCCGTTCACCAGAAGAACAGCTCCAATGCCCAGGGGTGAAGCGTCCGTCATCACGCTGGCCTCCGCTTTTCCGCTCTTGTACAGTGCGTACTTGCGGATCGGTCTTTCCTTCGCCGCCTTCAAGTAGGACAGGAGCCAGGTTCGTGCCTTCTCCACACGCTTCACCGGGATGAGATGGTCCTTGGAACGGCTATCTTTCCTTTGAGACCTTCGAGCTGCCTCCACCCCTGACTGAACATCGTCCTCGTGGCTGTACAAGGTCGCATACAGCGACGTGGTGACCCACCTGGCTCGAGGCAGCACGCCCGCCAGCCAAGCCACCCTGCCAGCTGCCTTTCTTAGCTCTGCCGTCCCAATCATTCCTTTCTTGCCCCACGCTTCCAGCTGTTTTTGGAGTTCATCCATGAACTTTTCCGGGAGCGTGACCAGCAGGTGATCGTAGTCGGGCGCCACTAGCTTGAAGTGGATTCCTATCCAGGTCACAGCCGCCGATCGTTCGCCCTTGCCCAGCGACAAACGCAGCCCGAGCGCTGCCATCGTGTGGATGATGCACGACAGGGTATGGTTCCTCTCACGCAGCTTGCCCCCCAGCACCCACAGGGAATCGTCCAGGTATACTTGATGCATTCCCCGTTCCGCCGGTATCACTGATTGCAGCAGTCGGGCTATGCAAGCTGCCACCCGGCTCCAGGTCAGTGGTGCAGTTTTGAAGCCAAAGAGGAGAGCTATGAACAGCAACCAATGCTCGTCGTCCAAAGCTGGCGCTAGACAGTGGCCCTTCTCCTCCTCCGCCACTGCCAAGTGCATGTAGGCATCTGATACGTCTATCATCACCAGCTCCAGGGTCTTGTCCTGCGGCCTCACCAATTCGGCTTTCGACGCATGCATCCTCCGAACCATCGCTATGGCGTCCGTGGGTCTGGGCAAGATCAAGCGCTCGGGGAGTACTGCCTTCCTGTTGCCTCCTGACCTCCTCAAGTCTATTATGATCCTTCGCTTCTTCGCTCCTCCCTCCTTCGTCTTGACGATGAGCCCCAGCTTGGAGATTGTCGTACCTTTGAAGCCCGCCCTTTCGACTTCTCCTTTTCTGGCCTTGACGGCATAACCTCTGTCCATCAGCCTGTCGATTTCTATCTTGGCGTCTTCCTCTTGCTCCCTCACTGAAACGTAGTTGCCAATGTCCTCCCTCAAGCCTTGTGCAGCTTGCCAATCTTCTGGGCGTTGAATTTCCTCCTTCAAAGTCGGTGGGAAGATGTTGCAAGTCTTGATGGGGACGTTTACGCCCAGGGGCACCCCTTCTTTGATCCACCGGTGCACCTCCGTCTCCGGGTCCCCTCCTCTTCGGCACCATGCTTCTATCAAGTTCCCATCCATCGGAGATTGATAGGCCCATTTACCTGTCAACTTGATTGCTGGTGCCCCCTTAGCTCCTGTCAGCTTCCGCAGCTCCTCTTTCCATCTTTCCACCAAATGTGCTTCTAACTCGCAATCCTCCGACCCATATTCTTCGCCCACCTTCAACACCTTCGGGTTGTTCATGCAGTGCCTCTCCCAGGCTCCCCAAATGCGGCGCCCCAAGTTCTGCAGCGTCGGAATCCCTTCCACCACTTCCATCGGATTCTTCATGCCGCCTACGAAGCCCTGCTGGTCCAACCTCTTTTCTTTCTGCTTCTCTTCTTTGAGCATGCCATACTTCCCTTCGCCCGGCTTCCAGCGTAGGTCCACCTTCTCTCCTCCCTTCCTGTCTCCTCTTCTTGCTCCGCCGCGGCTCCTGCTTCTCCTTGAGGCCGACCTCCACCTTTTCTGTGCCCTCTTCTCCTCCAACTTCCTTTCCTCCTCCTTGCTCTTCCTTCTCCTCTTCTTCTCCTTGTCCTCTTCCTCTGCCTCCTTCTCCTTCGCCTTGTCCCTGCTCTCTTCCCATCTTCGTTTTTCTTCCTTCGTCCACTCTTCATCAACTCCTCTCTGAGCTTCGGGTGTAGGCGACAATTTCACCCCTTCTTTGTTCCTTCGTGTCCTCATTGATGTCGCCTCCGCATCGCCCGTTGCTATCTCGAAATGCTGATGTTCTTCTTCCCTCAACCTCCCTTCCAGGTATTCTGCCGTCGCCATCTTCTCGAAGTGGTCCATCAGCAAATAGGCATAGGCCCGGCAAAGTTCGACCGGGTACTCCCCCGACTCTTGGGATTCCTTCTTCCCGATGATCGGTCGATGTTTGGCTCCTCCGCATTTGCAGTCCCTGCTCAAGGATTCGATGCCGTAGAGAGTACCTGCGAATTGTTGTGGCTTGAAGTGACGATCACCACGTGCCCGATTTGCTTGGAAGGCACACGTGTTGAATTGGGCGATCTTGACACCAGCCATGCGTAGGTACCCCACCATTTCTGACATCCCCCAAGCCGACAGGTGGTCCTCGACGTCCGATGGAGGAGGGTTCTCCATTGATGTTGGTCTGGCCACTATCGTCGATGTGGGATTCTTTGCCAGTTCCTCGGCCAGCTGAACCGAGCGCGCAAGCATGACTGTCCCTCTGTCGCATTCCGCTTGCTGAGCTTGGGAGTTGGACTTCTTCCCGTGTGGTTCGCTTCGAGTTCGAACTGGTTTTGGAAGGTTAGGGGCATTTCGGAATCTCAGGCGCGAAAACGTCGAGCAAGGGAATCCTGAGTGGTACCATCGATGAGGCCCTCCTTCGCCCACCTGAGATGCGTGTTGTAGGGCTCATCCAAACATAGGTCCTGGCCCCAGTCCCTCTCCGCCGCTATCACCTCCACGTTCAAGCCTCTTTTGGCAGCTACCTGATGGATAGCTGCTCCAAGTGGATCACGGGGTCCTGCAAAGTGATGTAGGAAGCGGAATCGCCTGGCCTTCACATACTTCTGTATCTTTTCTTCCAACCTCTCCTGAGAGGATTTCTCCTCCTCCTCCTTCTTTTCTCCTTTCTTTTCTCCTTTCTTCTCACCCTCATCCTCCTCTTTCTTCTTCGCCTCACCTTCGTCACCTGCTGCACGACTGTCTCCGGTCTCCTTCACTTCTTGGCTTGACACCTGATTGCTGGGTGACCCGGCGACCCACAGGATGAACACTTGTGAGCCCGTTTCACTGCGTTCGTGCACTCCGCTCCTGGTGGCAATGATCCACACGGACTGTTCCCGTTGTTCCACGAGAAGCAAATGGGTTCCCCTTGCTTCCCTCCTTTTCCTTTCTTGCTTCCTCCTTTTCCTCCTCCTTTTCTCTCCCAACTTGATTCGCTTCGGGCTTCTCGAAGTCTTTGGAGCTCTTCTCTTTCCGCCTGCCATTTCCTCTTCTTCGCCTCCCGTCTGTCTCTGTTTCCTTGCCTTCTCGCCGTGGATGTAGTCGCCGGTGAAGTTGAGCCGAACGTCCCAGACTCCATCGCTGGCATCAACGAGCTCGTACCTCCACGTAGTGCGTTCTCGGCGATCGATTCCTGGGGGGTCATCGCTCTTCCTTTCGATCCGCTCGCAAGCCATGTGAGGGCCGGACTGTGTATCTGGTCCTGCCAAAATTTCATTTCGTTCGGCACCATGCGAATCAGGGTTTCCCATGGTTTCTTCTCGTCGAAGTTCAAGGGGGCCGGTTTTCCTTCTTGCTGATCCATCGCCACCTTCAACTTCAGCCTCGACAGCAGTTCCCCTCTCGCCATCTCGTCCGCCGCGTACACCAAATGCCAGGCGTCCGGATATAGCCGAGTCAGCTTCTCCACGTACAGCTCGTAAGCATGAAGGGGGGGCCAAGGCGCATTCCTGCAACATGATCATCGCCGTCGTGAACACCCTGAAGCATGCCCTCCATTGTGTGAAGTTGGCTGGACCCGGCAGTTCCTTCGACACGTAGCCCTCGGCCGTCGGTACCCAGGTTCTGTACCTCGAAGCCCTCAATGCTTTCCTTCCGAATGGCACGAACACTCCAAAGTCCGCGAAAGGAGGTTTTCCCATCGACAGCTTCTTCTTCAGGGCCGAGAGCTGTTCTATCGTAGGCTCTTCCTCCTCCTCGGGCAGGGATCCCGTCGTCGCGATGTACTTCTGGAGCAACGTCATCTTCGCTTCTTCTCCCAAGACCTCGAACTCGCCGTCGTCTCCTTGGTCCAACACTTGAGCGAATTTCAAAGTCCTGTCCTTCGTGGCCTTCGCATCCGGGTCGATTGAAGTGGGTCTCATTGGGCTCGAAGAGGATGAATCGTTCAACCCTGAGGTACTCCATGGATCTTCCTCCACCCAGTTGTCCCAAGCACCTCCGCCCTTCGTGTACATGATCTTCCTCGCCAATTTCCACACTAACCCCACATGGGCGGCCTGCACGGCAGTTAAGGGGACATCCGAGGGGAGCATGGCCTGCGACAAGGCAGCAGCAACCACACTGCCCGGAAGGGCAGCGAGCAAACGCAAGTCGTTGCCAGGGGAGCCGGTCTCCTGAGTGAAAGCTTCCCAAAGCTCCGAAGTCACTCCAAAGTGCTGGAGCAGGTCGTCGACCGATTGCATCCCCAGGGCCGTGGCTGCCGTCGGAAACATGGCGGCAAAAGAAAAGCCAGCCCGCGAGGAATACCCCCATCCTACAAAGCCATTTGACCTTGCAGGGATAGGGACTTGAGCCAAAATGGCATCAAGCCACTGTCCCCACCCAGGCCCTACTCAGGGTTGTCACCCAGAAAATTCCATTCTTCCATTTTCTTCTCAAAAACTCGCCTGAAGAAAGCAATCCACACAGAAATAGGCACTAGTATGGCTTAAAAACGGAGGAGCAAAAGAAAGAAAATGCTTTTTGGGGCACTGGTCCTGGTTATTTTCAAGGCGAATTGACAAGACTTCCACCCATGTGGCAAGCATGAGGAACATTGGATTGCACAAGCCACGCATGGCTGGGGGAATGCCTTCGCTTCACCTTCGCTTGAGCCCTGTTTGCTTGGGCGGCATGGACAGGGTTGTTCAATGTCCTTGAAAGAGCAGCAGTTGTAAGAACTTAAGTTATTATCCCATTGAATTGTTGCAATTGTTGCAAACTCATGGTCTCAGGTACAAATTCACCTCACATCCTACTTGCCGGCGTTGCCTCAAGGCTACCTATATAACCGCTACCAGAATAGCTCAGTTCACACCAGCTCTGGAACATTGGGGCCCACTTCCGTTGAGCCAAGGAGAAGATTCTAAACCTCAAGAGTTCTTCTGGCCAAACATCACCCACATTCTCCCATGGGTCCCTCTTTCGCAACAAACGACCAGCGTTGCATCGCTCCCATGCGCTCATCGCTCAACCCGAGCGGCATCTTCTGGCAACTGCTCTTCAGATTCCCACAGCTCTCGGCACCTCGCTGGGCTGTTGCACGAAAAGGCTGGGGACAGGCTGGCTACGTCACGCTAGGTTTGGCGGAAACCACAGGTCTGGCGGAAGGGCGGCCGCACGAGCAAAATCACTCCCAAAGCAGAGCGTTGGCCCCCAAGTCGGAATGCAGTAACTGGCCATCGAAGGTGTGCAGGGAGGGATTTACCATGGATCTGCCCCCAGTGCTTTTGTCCAACCATGCCTTGAACTGAAATCTGCTTGGCTTGGAGGAATTTCGCCCCCTAGCAGCCAGATCCTTTCTAAATTGGGCCTTCAATGCTTTACGATAATTTACTGGGTCCTGCTCAGGCTCATGAATCTCTTCTCAGAAATCTCCCATCTGCCGTCGTGGCGCTCACGTGCAGCGTCTGCTGCTCTGTGAGGTTCTGATGAAGGTTGGAAGCACAAAGACTACCTTACAGTGCTTTCAGTCAGCTGTGACATGCCTTTCACGACTTTGGGGACTTCAAATACCGTTGGTACAGAAGAGCTGACCCCCAAATCAGCTGATATGTCCGGGAATTAAATTAAGCAAGAAACTGGGCTTGGTGTGAGGTTCTGTGTGGGTACACCCTGCTTTCTGACAGTTCTGCGAAGTGGCATGCCATCGATGAGAAGAAGAGTCGGATCCTCAGGCAAAAAAGCAATTCTGCAGGCTTGTGGCCCTGCTTGGCTGACGATGCAGAGGGCAAACTGGGCGCCGTGGTTATGAAACCTCCTCCCGTTTGACCAAAATGTTGCAACAAGCTAGTCATTTTTCTTTTTGAGGGAACGAGACCGGTAAGGAGAACCTGAGGACCAGAAGTTGTTCCGCCTAATCTGTCCATGGCCAAAGTAATTCCATGTTCTCAGCTCCATGGAGCAGCCGGCTGGAAGCAATCCAAGTTCCCAACATGGGTTCCTCATCAATGCTGTGACTGATGATTGCCCCATTTACAGAACCAATGCTTTGACCTGTGGAGGAGCTTCACATGTGCCAATGACGCCCAAGGATCGGATCTTCACAGCTGTCAATGAAGTCCAGAACTGCCTGGATCCCTCGGTACGCGGCTGGTGATCATGGGTGAAAGCCCCGCACTTCTTAGCCCGAATGGCCGTGGCATTTGGTCCACAAAAACGGGAGGCCACATTTTGCCACTACGGGAATCATCAATTCAACAGGAAACGCGACATCTCATCTTCAGTCCACAACGTATGAACCCGATTCGAAACTCTCAAAGCCAACAGCGGAGGGCTTCACGTCCCAAAAGAACATGCACAGGCCTGGCAGTTTTGGGACGCACCTTATAGCCTTAAGACTCTCTTGAAAGGGCAAACCTACATAATCAACTATATTATCTATATGTGTAGAGCCGCGAATTCTCTGTGTGGTCAACAGCCGTGAGCATAAAACTACTCGCCTGGAGCTGCCAGATCCGCTGCCTCAAAGTGCTGACATCGCTGTGTGCGGACGTCCCAAAAATGGGACAAAATCCAAGTGACGAACCAGACTCCCAACTTTGTCAAGTATATATCCTAGGCCCTAGGCTTGTAGGACCAGAAAACTGCCGACGGCCAAAACTGCACTGAGTCTTCGACATGTTGAAATAGTGATGCTGTTGATTCCAGTTAAGTAATTATGCTGATTAGAATGATAACAATATCTGTAAGATTGTTTCTGATCTATGTATATCAAAAGTAGAAATTCAAGGATCGTAACGACCGGGCTGGCCTCCTTCAATAGTTTCGTAGTCGACTCATCCGCCGTCTTCTCAGCTTCATCTATGATGTCCTGGCACAAGTAGGCAAGCAAACGGCTTTCTGATTGACACCCACACTGCAACCCCCTTTTCCCGCTGAAGCCACATGAGGATTGTGACCACGGTAGGTCTGTGAAGTGTGCTCGTATCACGTTTCATCCCATCCTCCTTGAAGTTGGCGTATTGGTCTCGCACAAAGTTCAGATCTTCCACAACAGTTGTAGCACTGATCTTCTTAAAGAACCTCAAACCATGGGTCAAAACGCGCAGCTTGGACGATGTGCCAAACCTTGAAAAGCTCGAGAGACTTGCGATAATGTTGTCTACTGACTGTGGCCCGACACAAAATCCTGTGCAAAGAAAGCAAAATAAGATGCTTGGAGAATGGTCCACACCTCACACCTTTCAGGATTTTGATGTGATTTGTCAAAGACCACACCTCAAGTGACATCCCAAAGACTAAAAATACTCTATATAGTTGATATAATATATATATATAGTTTATGATCTTCACCTAGTCTTAGAGGTTTAACACAGACCCAGTTCACTTTTGGTGTCGAAAGCAGGACTATTCCCTTGTTGAGCCCGGCAGCTGAGGCTTGCAACAGTGCGGCTCGCTCTTCCACTTCTGACAGCCACGAGGCACTAGGCACGGGCACATGACTCGTTCATCGGCGTCGCAGGTTCGTTGATGTTCAGAAGACGTGACCGCCACCAAGAGGCAAAGGGGATGAAGATATGGAGAACCAACAAAGACACCAAGATACTTTTCAGAAGCAACGTGACATAACTTGGTTGTCCGCTGGGATCCTTTTTCATGCAAAACTTGGAAAGACTTCCCATTTGAAGTATCATCCAAGTAAAGAAAACATCTTAGTTAAAAAAAAGAAACTAGCTAATTAAGATGACATGTTAAAACATGTGTACAAAAAAGAGACGCTTCACTTCTGGCGTCTGCGTCCCGTTCCTTTCCAAGACACAGGTCAGGTTCATGCGCGCGAACTCCTCGCCTCGGACCGACCGGGTCGCGGTCATGTGACCGACCGGGTTGTGTAGGCACTTGTTACTAGTAGCAAACATTGTTACTACTAGCGTGGCACCTGTTACTACTAGCGATGCACTTGTTCCTAGTAGCTTCTTGTTACTACTAGTAAGGCACTTGTTACTACTAGCGTGGCACTTGTTACTGGTAGCCTTTTTCCATTTTTTTCTGAAAGGAAGGGTAGTCAGTTTGGTCATCATTCGGAAGACCTTCTGCCATCGTGAGTCATTGTGCTACTGCATGGTCTTCCATGCCTAGAAATGTTCATCAACAAGCCATGAAAGAAGCACAGCTTAGGTCGTTGGGTCGCCCAGCTCTCGAGCCCCTGGAAGGCATCCCCATCCTTGAAGTAGCTACTCCTCGCAGGGAGTCGTAAACCCAAAACCTGCGTCCTGCGACCTCACTGCCTCTTGTCAGTACAGCCCAGCTCGCTTTTGGCTTGCGAAACGACACAGCTGGGCTAGGCTCCTTAGCTTTTGAGGGCCTGTCAGGACATGCTGAAGCAGCTCCACGTCTGGCGAGCAGGCTGGCTTTCCTGAGTTAAGGCTGACGACAGGATGTCCAACCCGCAGACACCATCATATCCAACTGATATCCAGCAACCACTGACTGTGACTTTCTGAAAGTTGATCTTCCTCATGCCTCTGCCAGTTTGCCATTGGGAATTGGAACATATTGGAACTTAGCACTTCTACAAGCTCTTCAAACTCTAGTTTAATGCAGCCAGCCCAAAAATCTCAAAAATGTAAAAAAATAAACGCCTTCCGCCCACCGGAAAGCCACTGGTGTGAAGACGGGAGTTCTCGAAAACGTTTTTCCTCCGCTCCGAACGAAAACGACCTTCTCCACCTCGTTTCCCGCCGAATCTATATGGAAGGATGCTATGCTCGGTGGCCATCGCAAGTAGGTTGGAGGCCATCGCTACTAAGTATATATGCATATATTTATATAACAAGAAGCCCGAAATTGAACCGAACTGGTCGAGTCTCTGGGCTCGTCCGAGGGCTCCTCGACCGGGTCGGACCTCCCTTCGTGTGAGACGTGCAGCTGAGCCTGACGGGGGAACAAGGCCGAGGCCGCCATGCTCTATGCCGCATGGGACTGGCCCAAGGGAAGTCGAAGACCATATGAGGTTGAAAAGTCAGGAGTGCGTCCAAACGAATTACTGTATATAAATGAATTTGAAGAACCTATTAACATATTATATACATTATATGTAGAATATGTTGATCTAGACCCTGACAGAGTTATGTTGCAATAGGAGGGATCCAAACAGCCTCAACCTGAACCGATGGCCGTCGAGTTCCACCTTGATCTTCGCGGGTGTGTACCGTGTACTTGGTTTGATTCTGATAAACAATTTGTCCGTCTGAAAGGGGCTAGTAGAACCACCCTTGGGGACATAAAAAGAGCCTGATTGCTTTATATTGCTTCTATGTCTCTGTCATTGTCGCATGTCGCAAGTTGTTCCACTGGAACAGCAGCAGCAGCAGCAGCAAAAAGAAAGCAGTGACGAACGTCCGCCGGACCCCACAACAAACGCGAACCAGAGGTATCCAAGTGTGCCACCCCGTCCTGTGAAGAAGGTGCTGATCTCTGTATTCTGGGATGTCTCGCTACGTGTCTGTGGTCAGTGACCTGGCACCGGCGTCATGTGTTGAGCTTGCGACAGGTTTACCCACTGAATCTTCTGGTGTTGTCAGAATCTTCAGCTGTCCATCTCTTTCAGAGGAGCTTTGGCATCTCCAGCAACTCAAAGCAAGATTGTCATGGCTCAAACACAGGTCGGTTCCATGAACGACGAGGCGAGGCAAAAAAAGAAACAAATCCAATTCCTGCAGATCCTTGGATCATCTTGGACCTTGCATGTATCTAATATCCAACTTTGGGAGGCACATCCAGGTCTCAGACTTGTCCATCTTGAGAGGATATCTCCTCTTCATCCAAGTCCGGTTTCCTTCTGGTGGTTCTCTCTTTGATTCACGGGGATTCAGGTCGTTTGGTACTGCAAAACATGGCCAAGGGGCCAGTGTCAGAAGCTAACCTGTGGAAACATGTGATGCTTGCCAAGTGCTGTCACGGAAAAGTAACTGACACTGCAATCTTCAACACCCAAAAATGTGCAGAAAAGGATAGAACCCAAAGATCCTTTCCGCCCTCTTCTGGCCTCCACGTCGAGACCTTAGTGGTGAGACCATGTGAGACCACTTGGACTCGAAACCCTCTTAACCGCGGAAGGGTCGGAAGCCTCCCCAGCAAACACAGTACACAGGGTAAACCTGTTCAACGTGCTCGAATCATCCGATCTGTTCCATTGTCGTCAAAAACTCGAATCTTGCAGTCTTGCAGCAAATGTCAAGCTTCGAACGTGTATAAGCTGTTCAATATTCAATTCTGCCACTCAGTTTCCAGATGCAAGTCCGATACTCAACGTCAGCCGAATCCAACAGAACCAAGCAGGCTGACGTCTGGCACCATGTCACAAAGCACTCCGCTCAACCGCTGGCTGTTCCGAGGAGCCGTGACGTGGATGGGCCCCAGTGCTACAAACCAGCACCGCTGCGGTCCACCTCCCGAGCCTGGCGCGGAATTGGATGAAGCGAAGCATGATGGATGGAGCCTGTTTCGTTGAGGATTTCGGTGGGTCATTCCGATTTGCTATTGCGGCTACTGCTTCCTTGAGGATTTCTGTGGGAGGGATTCGATGGGATTGGCCCATTTCTTCTTTCGGGAGTTCACCAGCTACAGTAGCAGGTGGAATTAGTCAGTTGGTGGATCGGTTGCAAGTGTGCAGGCTCTTTGTTGGTCTAGCACTGGTGGGTGTAGGTAGGGTAAGCTTCGATGTCCTTCAAAAACTACGTTACGCATCATGAGACATAAAGCTGATTTAGCCGATTTCAAAGATCTTTGGGCACTGATCTTTGCCTCCAAACCATCGGCGCCTCAGAAGCACTAGAAGCTCACCAAATGTATTCAAAGAGTTTGAATGTCATTCTGATGTGCAGCTAGATCGGCAACGCTCGATTCCAGTGTCACCCCAGTCAATCCGCAACCGAAGAAGCGGTCGCGCAAATGAAAAACGCGAGCTGCAACAACAGCACTGGCTTTTGTTTCGATTTGAAACCATCGTTGCTGCACCACTGGTTGAACATATCTTTCGAGCTATACCCACGTAGTAAGAAGCCCTTCATTCCTATACCACCAAAATGTATGAAAAGTTATTATGTGGGGTATGGGGTATGCTCGAAAGGTATGTTCACAACTTCTTAGAATTGAAAAATGGACTTTTGTGGGATCCTCCAGACCCTAAACGACCAACCGAGCATTCTCAATGGCCCACAACCGCAGACCCACCACGGTCCATGCAACTGTAGGCTGGGTCTCTGACCACTGTAGCCACTACCCACTCGTAATAAAAAGGAGAGTGTCAAAGGCGACACAATGGGATTTGCCAAACTCTACTTGAGCTGCAAATGGCAAGGTGGATGTTGCATGCTACTCAAATTAGGGCGCGATATCATAAGGCAAGCAGGATTGATTCTGCGAGGTCAAATGCATGGTACAATGGTATCTCCGCAAGGCCAACAATATCATCTTCTGTCATTGTCTGTGTGAGGTCCTTCGTAACGAAGTCTGGGCTGTGCACCCTGACTTTCTAGATGATTGTCAACTTCTCATCCAAATGACACACTGGTCTTCCTAGTTGTGTCTCCTCCACGATTCTGCAGCATCTGGGGTCAGCTGGGCATGGTTGAGTTTGGCGCAAGCAACAATAGAAGGCCAAGGAAATTGAGATGTATATATAGTTATATATATTTAATCAAATTCTATATATATAGACACACGTACAGATATATATATATATATATATGTGATTGCAATTTTCCTCACGACGCGGCTTGCTTTGCAGCATCGGCCCTGGCAAGTTGGACTCTGGCAAGGTGGGATGTGCCTTGAGCAAAACCCCTGTTAGCGTTTGAAAGCTTTCAAGCACTGCTTCAAAATCAAGAAACTACAAGTAGGTGTGCAGCCATTCAGCTTGTGAAACCACAAATCCACTTATATAAAGATGACATACGAAGCACAAACAGTCAAGGAAGAAAAGGCTGTTGGCACACCGCAAGCACAGACATGTCTGATGTCAATGCAAGGCTTAACCCGCAACATACTCGACAGGCTCCAAATGGAAATTCACAAGGGTCTATAACATGCCAGCACAGACCACACTTTCTTCATGCGTTCCTGTTGCTCATCATCCTGTTCACGGAGCAAAAACTGTCAGAAAGCACAACAAAGCGTTCGGGCCTTCGTTTAGCAACTTGGAGGAACACATCATCATTTGCTAGTAGCGTCCTTGTTCCTAGTAGTAAGGCCAGGAGCCCCTAGTGGCGTCCTTGCTCCTAGTAGCGATGCACTTTGCTCCGTTCGTAGCGTCCTTGTTCAAGGCGTCTTCTGCAGATTCCTCTCCTTCCACCATCCTGCCACATCCTGCCTTCCGCATCATGAAGGCCGTCTCATTCTCGTGTTCATTGAACTCACGCGCCTAACGGGCACATGCAGGGAATCGCTGCTTCGGAAGCAGCCGTGAAAAGCAGCACATGAAGTGAGAGTCCAGAGTCTGCTGTATGCTGAAAATGCCAGTCTCCAAGCTTTTACAGGTGATGACCGCTGCTGGCCCTGAGTACAAGTCTTGGGCAAAGGTCGGCTTTCCAATAACTACCACATACTACACAATCAACCTCAAGCTCCCTATTCCCAGCTCTTGTTTTGCTCAAGCCTCTGAGGGTGCAGTCCTCACAAAATCCTTCGGATCTGGCTTCTGGAAGCCTGACAAATCAGTGAAAAAATCCAGGGCTGAACAGTCTCTTACCATGTTTTTACCGTGTTTCACCTCTCTCAAGGGCCAAGGGCTAAATGGTGAAGTTCATGTCCACATCGTGCGTCAAGCCTTGACATTCCATGACTCAACAAGCCGGAACATGCCGGAACTATATATTAGTTTCAATAGGGGAAACCTGGGGCAACTGAGCTCGACATGCCGGAATTGGAGGACGTACTATTTCACAAGACTCGCCAACATTCCCCACGCTCGGCCAACCCAAACGCCTAACCCGTTACACCGCAAAAGCTGTATGCAAACTTGCAGCTCCTGGAAAGGCTGGCACAAACGCTATAGGCAGTGCAATTCAAATCCAAATTCCATGACCACATGATTTGCTTTAGCGGAACGTTCTCAATCTTGTGGAAAGGTGCCAGGACAAAAGAAACCTCCAGCAAAAAGAAGGAGAATGAGGATCATCCTCAAGAATCTGATCCTTCTCGCATCGACAAGGCTGTTTGACGAGAATTTATACAGCTGAGATCTAGTCCTTGGAAGTGGTGAGGTCCCATGTCGCGTCCTCAAATAGCGGCTGCCCTAGCTTCCCACACAGGCCGAGCACCATGCTGCGGATTCCCACGCGAATCAAACAAAGTTGTATAACAAACGTGTAGTTGATCAACCAAAAGCACAAAGCCACTCTTGCAAACAAAAGCCTGCTTGTTTATCAGCTGCTGACATGTTTGCGTCTAACACCATGGTGCAATGGACTGCGATGGACCCCTGTGGCGGCTAGATATCACTTTTCACTTATCACAAGCAAATGGATCTATCATGGCTGATAGCTCATACCTTGATATCGGCCAGATATGTAGCACCAACTGGTCCTCCTGAACCCTCTGTCCTCGAGCTTCCTCTCCAGGACATCCTGGATTGCTCGCCGAGCTGCCTGACACATCTGGCGCGCAAAGATTCTTCGTTTTCGCGAAGCGTCTATGCCATGCATGGTGAGTGTGTGCGAGAATATGTTCAAAACCGAGCTAGGTGATGAGAAATGTCAAAAAGCTAACTTGCTCAGACTCCTCCCCAACTGACTGGTGCTCCCATCCACGTCTCCTGTAAGAGAGGCATCAGCTGCTCTCCACCACGACACCGGAAGCTGGCGAAGCCACCCACCTGCGGCTGCTCAGCATCCGGTCGCTCCACGAGACGCCGGGAATCCGTCGGACCCGACGGCCCGTCCGACGGCCCGTCCGAGCTCGACTCATGCATGGAAAAAATAACGGAAACAAACGGTCGGTCTACCTGTCTACTATTGGTGCCCTCGTCCTTTAACACTTCTAAGGGTCAGAGCCACCCCTGCAACAGCCACTCTTTTGTTCCGTGCCAGTAGAACCAGTCATTGCGCTTGGCCACGGCACTTTTTCTTCGGCCTTGCGAGCGCAGATGTGCTTGCCATTCGTGGATGCGGTGGATGGTGGAAAAGGAGGTGCTGTTCTCTCCATATTCCCCGCCAGAATCTGCCTTTGGATGATGTTGGATCTCCATTACATCTGCTCTCAAATGAAGGTAAATCGGTAAATTGTTGGTTTTCAAGCACTGTCAAAGACGCGCCTCACGTTCTCCGACGTCTCTTGGCATCATCAGATGCCCCCGGAAAGTGTGGAAGGCCGAAAGCCGTTAGGAGCTCGAAGGCTACTGGCTTATTCTCCTGACTGAGAACCTGGGTAGCAGTATGGCATTGTATGGTGTGGCAAAACCTGGCAACTGTGCACCTGTTTCTGTGGAACACTGACCAAATTAGTGTGCTGCAAACACTCCAGACTCCAGACCTTAATGCCAACCGCGATGGCCTCCAACCTAATACCCATAACTGCCCATAACCCTCATATATATGGACCAAGCAGTCTTCAAGAAGTCCTGTCTTTCTTTTCTGCCGTCCCGGAAAGTCAACTCTCTATGTCAGCTCATGGCAGCGATCTCTGAACAAGATTTTCTCTAGCTTCGAGCCCTTCCTTTTATGAATGTGGGAAAACCAAAGGGTTGGGGAGAAATCGATTTCTGGGGAGAAATGTCCACAAAGAATCTCCAAAAACGATCTCGATGTCAGGCGCTGGTTAACGTGTCGGACCACTTCTGGTGACCCATGGTTTGCAAAGCAGTAGAGTCAGCAAAGGCAACATCTCGAAACGCACCTACTGTGTGGCAAAATATCTGCTTCCGATCTCTGAACATAATACGATTTCTGGAACGAGCTTCCGCAGCCATGACTTTCTTGAATCCCTCTACGACTCTACTACACCCCCACCACTTCAATTATGACACCACCACCAACGCTACACCCAATCACCAGGCTGGGCAAGCCGTGCACCTGTTGCGAAACAATGCTCTCCTCCATCCCGCCAAGGTGCACAGGTGAAGCTAATCTCGTCTCCTACCTCTTCAGACAACAAAGGAACTGGGCAGATTCGGAGCACATACTTTTTCACTACGTGTCTTCGTTAAAGTGCAGATTTGGTGGAACTCTCGCTAGCTGCTAGTTCGTGCGACACACGGAAGTTGGTGCGCCCCTCGCTTTGCTTTCCCGTTTTCACACTTGGCCGCGCACCTGGAATCCCTTCAGCTGGTTTTGCTGGACCAGCACCTCCATTCCGAAGGTGGCCTGTCGTTGCAAGACACAATCTTCCTGATGACGGTTTCAAACGGGTCATCTTGGGCCACAGAGCAGAAAGCTCCCCAAGCTTTATCAAGTTCAGTGTGTTTAATCCCAGACACAATTCCTTGCATGACTGCGAAACTTTGGTTAGGGTTCAAACCTTCAACCTAAGAGCCTCTGTCCTGTAGTGGCGCAGAATATGTGAAGCCACCTCTACAGGTGCGTCCTGTGCAACTTGGTCCATCCAACTCCAACACATGTCCTTTTCATCCAAACTGCTGTAGCAGATTGGAGCAGCATCCAAACCATCCCAAACCCTCAACCACATTTGGGCATAGTGTCAAAACCATGCAAGAAAAAAGGCCCAATGCAGTGCCCAGTCGCATCAGGGTCACTATGCCAAACCTGCCCCATTCATGCGCGGCACGCCTCTATCTCCGGGCTCGTGATGAGCCCAACGCCTTGCGTCTCGTCAAACTGCCGCAGCACCCCACGACACCTGTCCCAACAAAAACGGCAGAAACACCTAACTCCTCTAGGTTCGGTCGTAATGAGAAGAATGGCATAATATGTTCCATCTCATTCACATATCCTTCAGGGATCAAAAAAATAAAGGTGGAAACCATCTGACACCGTCCCATGTCAACCAAGCTGGAAGCAATAAAGCTTTATCCAGGATTTCGGAACACATCAGGGCCATTCAGCGCCTTCTCTCGGTCATGCTTCTGGAAGGTGCATAGGTGAGGGACGGGCAGGCGAAGTGCACCACGGCCGGACTCAAAGAAGGCCGCAATCTCAACCTGAGTGAAAGAAAAGACGGCACGAAAGCGTCTGGGCCAATGACCACTGAATTTGGGGATCTTGAATGTGTTGGAGTTTGTTGGTCAGAAAGCCACGGCGAAGTGAATGAAATGTCCTTTATATTGGAGCTTGGACCAGTTCCATCGGCCCCATCCCTTTCCACACTCAACCGTCCTTGTGACGCGAAACGACCACCTTGCAACACCTGCGCTGCGCCCAGAAACGTCTGCAGGATCAAGTGCACCGCAGAGTCCCCGTCCAAGGCCGCCAAGATCTCCGTGAGAGACCCAGCATCCATGGCTGAAACCACGCAGGACGCAACAAGTGCGGCGTCGGAAGCGTGTGACGCTTCGCCGAGGCGAAGCGTTCACCTGGGTGTGGTGGACGGGAATCTGTGGGGGAGAAGCTGTGACCGGCAGTTAAGCTTGCTTGGCCTCAGGATGACGATTGTAGATCTTGAAAAGATCAGTTGCTGTAGAAGCTCAGCCTTTCCTGGCAAGCTGCCACAGTTTGAACCACGTGTGGTGCTGTTCTCTACTCCTACTCGACCTGAAGTTGAGTTGCTTCCCAGATCCATTCTGTTTTGGTTTGAAGAGATGTTTCGACTGGCATTGAAGATGTTCTCATGAGCTTTTTGGAAATGACGCTGCTCGGCAAACCATGTGATGTGGATACGTCATCCATCCTCATGTGTCTATCGGTCCATTTGACCTTGAGCACGAAGCAGCTAGGGGGAAGACAGACATGGCTGTGGGAGGCGGCATATGCGAGGCAGACATTGCGAAGGAAATGGATCAGAACATTAAGAAGAGAAAATGCTTGCTGGGAAGAACCCCTCCAACACAAGAACACACTCCATCTCCTTATCCCAAACAAACATCGCGCCAGCTTCGCCTGCAACGAATGGGTCACCTTGTTGTAGGTGAGTTCTTGGCCGAAGAGGAGCAACGCAAAGGGGCTCGCCTCGGCAGTCACCCGACGCGACGGCGCCTCAGGGCGCGGCGGCCGCCCTAGGGCCCTAGGGGAATCTCACCGGAAGGCCGGATGGACAATGCTTTTGGAGTATATTATATAACTTGATGTGTATATATATATATATGCTCTGTTTGCTCCAAACAAAAACATGCCATCAGTGTGGTTCAAAGAAAAGAGTTGCTGATCAACAACAATCAACATGTGCTTGTCCTCACCTGGCCTGCATGCTAGCTAGCGCAAAGTTGTCTCCGTTGCAGCTAGTCGGTCATTCATGTTTGTACAACTGGGATCACATGAACTTGTCAGCAAGGAACAAAAGTGTGATTTGCAGACTACACAACGCTTGTGGTTGTCCTAGCGACACAAGCAAGACCCTAAATCATCAGGCAAATGATTCACATGATATTTTTTTGTTGCCACTAGTCACTAGTGTTGCAGAATCCTGCAGAAAGCCTGGCAGAAATCGCTGGGTTTTGTGCTTCAGAGACATCATAAGCATAGAGTTTGGTGGTCTGCCTCACGGGAAGGCGGACACGGGTCGACTGCTGCCACGATGTCGAACAGAAAGTGGTCTTCCTCCGTGGTTTTAACAATCCTGGAGTCCTAGACAATCCTAGACACATGCCGGTGGCCGGCTTGAAAACACTCTGGCTGATGTCTAGGGTCCATCTGGGACCATCATCATCGGGTTCGTGTGGAAATCGAGCAAAACAGACGCAAAGGTTCATCTGCAAGAAAGCATGGGCTAACTGATCGTTTCTGAGTTGGCCAACTGGATTGTGTAAAACGCAAGCCAGGGAGTATGAAACCTCGAGTATCAAGTGAGTGAGCAGTCTGTTCTTCATTCAAAGAATCAAATCCATCAAAAGCTCTATGCACTACCCCTTCACGATCATGGTTGTGACGCTTTTACATTCGTTCGAGGAGGCGGGATCTCCCAATGCCCAGCATTCGTTGGAGGCGATGGCAAAACAGCATTCGCTTGGGCCAGCACTGGTCATACCCAAACATCAAGGAGTTGGGATGCAGGTACACGCTCTTCCGGTAGTTGTTCTTTGGGTCGGTTGACCTGAGGCGAGGCAGCCAGCACAAGGTCGGGGGTTTGGGAGGTCTTGCAAAACAAGGTTGACCCATTCATTCGCAAAAAAAAGAAAACAATTTAGAAGAAAAAACACCGTTCAGACCAACGCAAAATTCAGGGATGGCTATTGTTGCCCTGACGCAGACTGCAACAGCCGTAACATACACATACAACACGCTGGGCCTTGCCTGTGCATCATGGCGTACTGAAGGAGCTTTGCCTTGTCACCAAAGTTGCCAGTCTGATACCTACCAGAAACAGATGTGTGTCTCTCTGATTTCACACGCATGTTTTTTCCAGTGTTTTGCTTGACCTGGAATAGCTTGCAAATCCACCTCCAAGACCTTGAACCAGGCAGATGTGGCTTGCTTCTTGCAGCGCGAGCCTGCCAGAATTAGCACGTCGCTCCACGTTCACGATGTTGGGATAAAGCCCCCCAACCTGAGCACAACTGCTTTGGGAATTGACTACTCCGAATACTATCAAAGAGCTTGTCGTAGTATCCTTGATTGGTCTTCCGACCGTTGAGTGACCAAATAAGCATTGCTGCAATACGGTCGGCAAAATCGTTGAGAAGAGTCCACAAGCCTTTTCACACAAAATGGTGTGAAGCTCAGCAACGATTTCAACTAAGGAAGCAATCTGAGTACTATATCACGCGAAATATTGACCTTGCATTTTCACAGGGGCAGTGAGCCTCCTCCAAATGGTTTCCTCAAACAAAGATAGATCGACATTCGTAAGGCTGGATCAATACCTTTATCACCTCGCACGGTTCGCACGGTTTCTTCACTCACGCGAACTCTCATCAAGATCCATGTACAGTGTACATCCAGGCACGTTCTGGTCACAGACCTGGGTGCCAGGCCACGGCAGCTTTCACCAAACTCCAGTCCGGCATCTGGCAGTTGTGGACAAGGGGAAACATCAAATCCATGCATTGGTCAGGTCCTCAAGAGGTTCCAATCTCTGACTCTACAAGTCAAGCGCCTTGTCTTTCATCATGATTTCATCATCCTTGAAGCTGGTGGGCAGGAGGCCCACTTGCATCTTAGAGGCTGTGGGTCGACCACAGCAGTGAGCCAAAAGCCGCTAGGGCAAAAAACCAGGTGAAGTGGAGACCCATACAGTACTATGGGATCCTGTTTGCCTCATACGTATCTCCACGAGCATTGGTGTCCAACAGCCAGGCCAGCACTGGAAAATGGTGCACTCAGATTGCGGCCGCTACAACCCCATCAATCACCAATGATCCGCACTGCCACATTCCACCTACCCTTGACATACCATGGCCAAGCGCCCGGCCAAAGACTCCATCAAATGCTTCCGCTCCTGGTTTGTGATCTGATCGTCGCAATTCCGAAGACCCGATCTATCAGTCAGAACTGCCTACAACTGGAAGAACAGCATCCACAATACTAAGGATCATTTTCATCATGTCTTTTTCTCGACGATGTCAACGTCTCTGGGGCGCCAGCAAACATGGAGGAGCACATTCGCTCAAAGGACAGGCCCAGCTTGCGACACAGCTCGCGCCTGGCAGATATTCGGGATTTTTTGCTAAATCTGCCAGGCACGAGCAAAGAACCAAGTATCCAAATCAAACTAGATTATGGAGCAACTGTACCTGTATAATTTGTACAATACATCACATACAAGATGTATGCATGAGTCCCCTAACTTATTGCTTCTCCACCCAGAAAGTCGCAGTCATCGTCCTCCCAGGACTGCGCCATTCCTGGGCTTCGGGCTGTTTCATGTCACCAAAGCGCCATTCCTGGATGATGTGCGCCCACCTTTGGCTGGGCCGTGTTGGTCAGACCCTCTACGCCATCTATGCCTTTGTCACTAGAAAACTCCCAGTAAATGTCCACCTGTTGCTAGTGGAGCGACCCACTGCCACATCTGCACCCAGAACACTCATGGTCTGGGGCTGTCTGAGGTTCATGAGATGAACATCAGGGCAATGGGCCAATGAATGGTACAATGATGTACAATGATAGAAGACCAAGAGGCTCCTAAAAAACTGAAGGCTGCAGGAGTGCTTGGTTGAAGGTGTTTTCCTCCCACAAAGTTGAGTACATTCTGCCAGCCAAGAGCAGCAGTATCTCAGTATCTCCCACTATGACAATGACACTACCTAAGCAAAAAATGAACCAGTGGTACTCCTGACCAACTGTTGCTGCACCAGCCAGCCCTTGCCCAACACAAACATTCGGCCACTTTCTTCTGAGACCTGATTTTCTGATTGCTGATCTTCTGGGCCACCTCACGCGCAATGATCACTTCGGGTGCCAATCTCCCCCACCATCTCCATCCTGGCAACATCGCCCGCGCCGAGGTAGGACCAGACTCACCTCCACCGGTCTTCCTCCCGAGTGGTCCTCGCGGTCTGCCAACTCGCCCGCTTGGTGGTGTCCTCCAATCTGAGCAGATAAAGATTAAGTTACCGTATCATCATAGGACTGACAGAAAGCATATCTTCCTGCTTGCTTGTCCGACTTAAAGACTCTCCACAATCCCACAATCCTGCGTTGTCATCATTGGATTCCGCACCGACATTGCCTCTGTACGCCAAAATGTTGCAGAAAGCATGGCTTCTAAGTATTCTACGTCTTGTAATTTGATAAGAAGAATGTGGTCCAACCTTGCTCGAGTCATGCAACACCACCTCATACCTATCGAATGCTGTGACAACATGTTTTTCTATGGTGCTGCTCGAGGTGCTGCGCAAATGCTTAAGCAAGGGCTCGGCCTCGGCTGTCTCGGATGGCAGAGTCTGAGACAGCAGAGAAGGAGCATGCAAGACCATAGAAACTGGGGGTTCTCTGAGAAGGAGTTTGGACTTTGTTGCATCTCCTTGAACCAGGTGCAGGCTACGCAAGTTAGGAGTGAGAAAATCCCCTTCACTGTATTGCCCACCTTCGAAGGTTTTCGCAACAACTACAGTATGTTTGTGCGGTTCACAATCGTTAACAGTCCGAACCAAACGAAGCACCACTGTACTGTACAATAACCTCTTTTCATGTTCATGGCAAATCCTTGGGCCCTGACACACCCAGCAAGCAGCCTATCGGAGATCGTCGTTGCGGGCTTGCACAAACTCCAGCAATCGGTCAACCCTTTTGCAGCTAGATCACTCGGGCCGCGCAGACCAACATTCTCGAAGCATGGTGCTCAACCAAAACAAAAAAGAAAACACCTCCAGCCTCCAACTCTGAACATGAAATCCCTCCAACTGTCAAAAAGAGAATCCTCCGGTACGAAGAAGGCTGGCACATCTTCGCTCTCCAAGAAACCCCTTCCACCCGCGCCTAGCACCAGGATCTTTCCCAGCCGAGGATGGCACGGCAAGGCTGCCAGGTGCCGACCGAGCCTGGGAGATCCGGCGACTGCCGCACGCGAACACCCGGGCAGGTCCACGGTCCGTCCGTTGAGGTCCTGGCGGGGTGAGGCCATCCGGTTGCTTCGAATCCAAGGCATTCAGATCTCGAAGAGCCGCCTTAGAAGGCTGGGGTATGTTCCTCTCTCCGCAGTTCTCTTCAGAAAGGCTGCAGAAATCGGCGCGACGATGCAAAGACGCGTTTGATTCAACCCACGCCCATGTCGCGGAACAGAAACTCTCTCGAAGACTGGAGGCGCGCCTCTGCGAACTCCACCGAAGTTTTGTCCGGTGGGTCAGGGGTCAAGGCTAGGAAGGCAGCCCTGGCATAAGTGGCGAGCATGAAGTGCTTCTCAAGAGCGCAGTGTCTGATGTCCAAAAGGCTCTCATTGCCAACCCCATGGTCCCGGCCTGTCATCATATCCACTGGCACAGACCTAGCAAGATGCTTGCCCATGTTTACACTTGACTTGTAGCACCCTGCTGTTGCACGCATGCATCTTCAAATGTCTCCAAGAGCATTCACATGTCTTCGTCATATTCAGCTTGCGCCAGAATGTGGACCCATCCACTCCATTGAGGACTCGAAGCCTTCGGGCCTCTCCCTTATCTCAATTGCTCTGCTCGTGCCTGCAAGTACACATTCTCCAAGGGCACTCGCTGCATCTCTGGTGGAGAAATCGCATCCATCCGCTCCAAATGCCTTTCACAAAGCTGCTGATTCCTTCATTCAACTCCTCGACCAGTTCTGTCGATGACAAGCATCGAGCGCGGCAACAAAACATGGTCCGGCGGATCGCGAAAGTCCTCATTGAACTAGGACGCTACTAGTAACAAAGGGCATCGCTACTAGGAGCAAGAACGCACTAATACGATCTTTTACTGTTGAACAACAACAGCTTGCCGCTGCCTCTCGGGAAGGAGGCGCAAGCACACGCCTGGCTGCACCTCAGGTCTTTCTTCCTTTTGGTCGTTTCGGGCTGCACGCCATCATGGGAGGCTCCATTGCAGGGCTCATGGACCACTTTCCAAAAAAGCTTGCTGGGGGTGTACCGAGGTGGCCTCAAAGAGAATGTTCATGCACCGTCCATTCCCACCTTTGGAGTACCTCATTGCCCCAAAATGAACCAATTACCATCAACTACCACATATAGAATGTGGCCGTCGGCATCCCTTGGGGATATTGAAAAATCGACCAACGCCGGTGCACTTCATGGGCTCGGTTCTGGAAGGACTAAACCAACACGCCTTGAACTTGAACAGACCTTGAATCCAGCCAGCACAGCCTGAGATCCCCAACACGGCCTGCACGGCCACGGCGCTGTTTCAGGGAGTCCAACGCGCACCATTGCTCCCCTCAGAGTTGCAGTCTGTGGCAAGTTGATTCACTCATTCAATAATATTCAATATGGGCCCATGCTTGAAGTGCATTGGGAGCGTGGTAAGTATGTCAACAATTGCACCAAAATGAAGTATTCACAAACATTCGATCAAGGAGCCATGTCTTGTCATCTACAATATTGGCTTGAGAAGTTTGTCCCTTCCTGCGCTGCACTGCTTCAAAGCATGATGAAGTGACTGGTCTCCAAGACACCCCATGAGTATGGCTCAGGCAAAATGCCAAATCGGCAAGAACTATTGATTTGAAGCTGCTTTGGGCAATTTTTGAGCTACACTCGGCTACACTCCAATCAACCCACTACAATCATGAGAAACCCGCAGCTCCAACCTCTGTCCCTAAGCCTCACACGAAGAACCGGCGTATTGCTGTGACGATCCACCTGCCAAATGCATCGACACCAAAACACAATCTAATAAAGGACTCAATTGGGACGTTCTCTTCATTTCTTCATTTGTTGAAAATCAAAGTCATGTGCGGGCAGGGTGTTATACAAAATTCAACACAAACAAATGGACTTCTACAGTTGTATATACTCAAAAATCTCAGAGGTGCTCTACACATCACAGAAATGGCACGAATGACCTGCGCAGGCTCCATTTCCGATACCCTGCGATCCCCTCCTGATTCCTCCGTTCCCGGCACGTGTCAATGACCACGGTGACGTCCGGAACCTGGGCAGTCGCTTGTGCCGCTCGGCTTGTTGCGTGTGCCGCTCGCGTTCGGAAAAGCACGTCATCGAGCGTCCCAAGCGCCAAAGAAACCACCAAAAGAAACCATGTCATCGAAGTCCATCGAAGAGTTGTTAGTTCTTGAAGAAAACGTGGCAAACTGCCGCAGAAAGGTCTCACCCTTCCTCCAAATGGTCGAGCAACCCCAACAGAGGCCTTGACAGCACTGCCAGGCAACAGGATGGTAGATGTGATTGGCATTGATAGGCAACATATGGAAAATGAAATAAGCCATTTAACTCACCCGTTCAGTGGTGACTTTAGGCCGTTCCAAGGGCGGCAACGAACGTCCCTCTCCGTCCGGACGGCTCGGCCCCCAGACGGTGACGGAGGTCTCCGCGACGTTGGTGGAGCAAATGATCTTTCGCGTGCAGCCTAGGGGTTCACAGGGGTTCATAAGACTTCAAAAGGTTTCAAAGGATTTCAAAAGAATTGAAACATGGTGCTTGGCCTGGGGCCTGGGGTCTTACTTGCTTGTGCTCTTTGTGATGTTCTGTGGAGTGGTGTTGTGAGGATGTTGATCCGCAAGCGCCTTCACAAGAAGAAAAGACTATATACTTCAATATAAAGGGTGCACAGCAATTGCCAAGGTTGGGGTTCCGAGCCTGCTGGCAATGTGACATTGAAGCAGGCCTGCTGCTCCTGAAAACGGAACTCACCAGCAGATCGCTTCTTCACAACCAAACCGTTAGAATCTCGCAGAAAAGAACTTTGGTGAGGTCGTTTGTTGTATGAGGATCATTGAAATTTGATCAACCTCAACATGCCGCGAAGCTAAGACGGCTCGGTTCACTCCCCCAGTTTGAGGAACACCAAGTCCAATAAAATATCACGGGCATGGACGGACTTCATCAGCCCGCTCACCTCGACGGACCTCAAGAAGGCCCCCGCTCTGGTCCTCTGGAGGCAGATTGGCATGTAGCGGCAGCAGCCACCACTTGGAGGCCATTTGACTGTCCTCCGCGAGCTTCGACCTGAGAATGTTGGAACAGAAATGCAGGACTTCCCTTCCTTGGCAGGGACCGGTGCGATGAGTGTCATGGATACAACACTCGGATCAGGTGCCCTGTCGCGCAAAAACGAATGAATGTCTAGCCCCATGTTGAAATCTCCAGAACTTTCCCAAGGTAGACTCATGTAGACAACTCCATGTGCGGTAGGACCAAAAATGCATGAATGAATTCCCCTGTCAAAGAGCATGCGTTGTCGTTTTTCATGTATTGTTTCGCAATAAGACGACAAAATGGTCCTTTGGAAAGCGCATGTTTATCTCTCGCGAACTCTCACCCGAATGCTGCTTTAGAACATACATTTAGGTCCAGCACCTCAGCTCTTTTTGGATCCTCCACTTCACGCCTGGAGTGTGAACTTGGGCTCCATGCATGAGCTGAGTGATCTCTCCCAGGCCGGGCAGAAACACCAAGATGGCACCCTTCCGGGGATCCTGCACCGCATGGATCGGCGGCTGAATCGGAGAGAAAAGCACGCAAATCGGTTATTACCGCAAAACCCTTGGCGACCGCTTTTGTCGCCACTCGAACGAAAGGGCTCCATTGGCCTCTAGGTTTCATGAACTGACTTGGTACACTTCTCGATTTGGTGCATCTGGACTCCCCCTCGCCACTCGTGGTGACTTTTGAGGGTGCACCAATCTTGAAAAACACGGCCAGTATGGCCTCTCCTTCAAAAATGGCCTTTCGGCCTCCGCTCAAGCCCTTTCCACTTAGTTCCAGGGCGTGCGGAACAGCGTGTATCCTACCCACGTCTCTTGAAGGTAGGCGCTCCGCTTCCCTCGCCGCTCATCAACAATGATGAACTTCTCCCGCTTTCCCGGCAAGGCCGCCCATGCGATGGTCAACCTCCACGGAGACCATTCTTTCTCGCCCCACATGTTCGGATTCTCGAAGTCGAACATCTTCTTCCTTTCTTGAACGTGCTCTCGCACCGACACCTTCCCACCGTCCGGCAGGTCTTCAAGCGTCAGCCACGTGTCCTTGGCCGCTGTTCGCTTGGGTGGGATGCCAACCTTCCGCCGCAAGCCCGGGGTGAAGAAGCCCGGCTGGAACTGCTCATTCTGCAGGAAATCCCACACCTCTTCTCTCCAGAGAGTCCACCTCCCCAAAGTGACTCCATTCCCCACCGGCGAGATGAAGTTCAGGGCTTCTCTCCTCATTCCAATGCGTTGGACTGTGCACCCCTCTTCAGAGGTATCCCGACCCGCTCCAGCCGCCTTCTCTTTCTTCTCCTCCGTCTCCTCAACCTCAATGCCCGGTGCCCCCGCCGATGTCGACGACGTAGCGCCCCCTGCCAACCCTTCCATTTGTCCTGAAGCTGACTGCACCTGCCTCCTGTCCGACCCGTGTTCATTGCAGATCACGTGGGTGCCCTCGGAGTCCATCATAATCCACGTTCCTCCGAAGTTCCTTCTCGGACCGCGCCTCTCCATCATGCGGTCCCAAACGGACATTCCGAGTCCTAAGGCTGCTCTCCTCTCCCTTTCAGCTTCGGGATCATAGGGTCCTCGATGCCATAGATCAGGATCGGGTACCTGATGACGTCCAGCTGGTTCAGGTCGGTCTGGGGATAGTGGGCCATGTGCTTCCACCTCATCTCCTGCCGATATCTGCCCAGGGTTCGTCTCCACCTCCTGCCTTTGTTCGGGTGTCACCCTCATCGCCCTCATGGAGATGCGGCTAACCGGAGTCCTCGTTCCCAGCTCCTGTCTCTGATAGAGCGGGTCATGTGGGTCTGCCCACGGATACGCTTCCTCGTGAGCAGAGTATCCAAACCCTCGATTTCCTCTCTGGGTCTCGCTCAGGTCCTCCACAGGACGCACTCCCACCTCCAGAATGCGTTCCACCACCAACTGAGCCACTCGATCCCCTTTATAGACTCGGAGATCCTCATCAGACCAGTTCCGCAGAAGAACTTTCACCTCTCCTCGAAAATCCCTGTCCACCACTCCAGCTCCTGTCTCAATGCCCCGAATGGCCAGCGATGACCTTGGAGCAATCCTCCCGTAGGTCCCGGCAGGCAGTTCCATGGCAATCCCGGTCTTGATCAACACACTTTCTCCCGGTGGGACCAGCGTCTCGATGGTGGAGTACAAGTCCAGACCTGCCGCCTGATCCGAACCCCGTGTTGGTAGTCGAGCTTCTGGGCTCAGCAACTTCACCCTGATCTCCTCCCTTGGCTTAAACCACTTCTGGATGCCCGAAGTCCCCACTCGGAAGGTAATGTCCACCAGGATCGCGATGGCCGCCGTGATCAGCACAATGATCCACCATTCACTCGTGGACTCTGCCTTCTCCACTTCTGCTGCCTCCACTCTTCCCAACAGACTGGCGGCCGCAATGAGCAGTCCAATTCCTCGAGTGAACCCCGGGTCGACCTTCTTGGTGATGTCAATCTTCTTCACCACGACCGGCTCCTTCTCTTCCCCTTGTAGTCCTAGTGCTCTCTTGAACCTTCCCAGCGCCGGTCCCATGAGCTGCTTGGTGAAGCCATCAGCAACCAGGACCTTCCCGGACACATGATCCAAGGTGATCTCCTTCTCCTTGATCGCCTCAGTAAGCCCCGCTGCCCGAATCCTCAGGTGTCTGGTCCTCCACGATGACGTAGTCCCTGCGGCGATCGCAATCGCAGCGGTGGAATCCGAATGGAGTCCCACCCTCGCCTTCTCCCCGGTCACTGCCTCGACCAGTGCTGCCGTGGATCTTCCTGCGACCAACCCCTCCAGCAGCGCCATCAATTCCGCCTCCGCCGTTGACAAGGTGATGAAGGGTTGACGAGTCGTCTGCCACCCCACCGGAGTTCCTCCAACAAATACCACCACTCCGGAGATGCTTTTCAGCTCCGATGATCCATAGGAAGCATCCGTGTAGACGTCAACCGCCTGGATCATGTTCTTTTCATCGCCAATGGCCTTCTCCTCAGCATCTCCACCATCGGCAGTCATATTGCCATGACCTCATCGATCGTCTCCCGGAGATGGGCTCTGAGCTGCCTTCCAATGTTGATCACCTGAAGTGGTCTCTTGGACGCCCATTGAGACATCATACCCACCCCCAGTGAGAGATCTGGTCGAGTTCTTCCAGCTACCCATAGGAGCTCCCCGGTTTCTTTCTGAGCTTGAAGCACCTGATCAGCAGTGGGTTGCTCCTCCTCTTCTGGTGTGCGAACCCTGCTCAAAGCACACCGCTCTTTCTCGTCATACTCCTTCAGCAAGTTGGTGATGTAGGCCTGCTGGTGTATGACATAGCTCGCCCCTCGCTTTTCAATCTCCATTCCCAGGAACCTCACTGGTTCTCGACCTTCCATCACCCACTCCGGCTCACCAATCTTCCAATGCATCTTGACCTGGTCGATGAACCCTTGGATGATCTCCTTCTCACCCACCATCAGCACGTCGTCCACGTACGTGGCCAATGCTCCCTTCGTCATCCAGGCATTTTGTTCGTCCTGTTCTTGGACCAGCCAGATGTCTGTCTGGGGTGTCGCCTGCACTCTCACCGGCCGACCTCCTCTCAGCCACTGGAAGTTCTTGATCTTTCCGTCTCGGTGGTCACACCAGTCCCGTGGCGAGGTCACTAACCCGTAGAGGGCTTTCTTGACAAGCCATAACTCCTTGGAATCTTGGAGCACCCCAGCCTCCTGGAAGATTCTTGGTGGCTGAACTATCACCACCCCACGGTCCTGAGCCGCTGGGGCGTTGAGGAACGCGGTCTTGACATCGAGGGTGCTCAAGGACCACTGGTTGATCGCTGCCAGCTTGATCAGCGTCCTCACTTCAATCCCGCTGGCCCCTGAAGCGAACGTGGACTCAGAGCTCTTGGCATTCATGAAGTTTCCACATGCCACCCCTCTGCACTTGTGCCTCCCAGTGCCAGCCTTTCGACTGAAGATGGCCTTCGCGGGCACCAGGTCGAAGTCCCTGCCCTGAGCCTTTGCCTCTTCCCTCAATCGATTCGACTGACCCTGACCAATGGCTTCGACCGCCTCCGACTCCCTGGTCAGCGCCACATACTCCTCGATCATGGAGGGCTTCCACTCTTCCAAGTTTCTCCTCACCTCCGTCAACCCCACCATCCTGGTCTGCAGGAACTCCTGTGGATCCCCAGCTGCCTTCCGGCGTTCTCCAACAGCGCTTCCTGCTCTTGGCGCCCTTCTCGCACTGCTTCCTCCACGATCTCCTCGACCTCGGTGGTCAACATCTTCAGGAACCTCTCGTTGATGATCTCCCCCTCATCTTCTTCCAAGAGGCTCAGTTCCCGAGCCAGGATCTGTGCTCCTCGGTGCTGCAGCTCCCCCCAGGTCCACGGCCCTTGATTCCTCCTCCGATCTTGACGGGGAACCCCAGCACTTCCTCACTCTTCCTGGTCGCTTTTGTGGTTGGTCGATCTCCTCTCTGTCATCAACCTCATGGGTGAAGCCGGCCTCCCTCATCGGCAGCTCCAGCTCTTCCGGGGCCTCCCCAACCTGGACGATGTCACCGGTGTGGAACAGCTTCCCTGTCTCCAGCTCCTGCACCAGGTATCCAGGCGTCGTCATCGACATCGTGACAGCCGGGCAGAGCACTCGGACCTGAGTTCTTGTCGTTGACAGGTATTTTTGTCTATCACTGTAGTACTTCCTTCCTCTTGGCCCACACCACCTGGCCAAACGGGACGAGTTCTCGCCTCTTCCAGCCCATGGACTCCAGTTGCCTCCTCAGACGGCCCTCAGCCCAATGTCTGGCGGCATGGCACCAGAAGCTCTCATCCAGGCCTGCCGCAATGAGGAGCGTTCGTGCGCCTCTCTTGACCTGAGCAATCGCATTCTCTGCACGGCCATTTCCTTTGAAGTTGTCGCCGTCATTGAATGTTCTCATGATGTCCCTGTCATGGCACCACTTCTGAAAGGCCCGGGACTGGTACTCTCCCGCTCGATCTGAGTGGAGTCGCTTGACCGGTAGGCCCAAGAAATCCAACTTCGCCGCCATCCGCCCGATCGCCTCCACCACTGCCGGGCCTCCTCTGCTCTCCAGGATCTCGACGATCAGGATCTGTTTCACCTGGAAGTCACCCTCCATCTCAACTCTTTCCAACCAGGCCTTCTCATCATCAAGTCCCGGCCAGTCTGTCCCGGAGCCCTTTAACTCCTCTTCATCCTCGACGACTGTCAACCCCGGACCATCACCCAAGGCTCCAGCAAGCTCGTCGTCCTCGTTGATGGGAATGAGGGACTGCCCTTCTTTGGTCACTGGTGCCAGGTACACCCCCACCAGCAAGTAGCGGCCCTTGCCAAGTTGGTCTTCAGCCAACTGGAACGGTCCAGCAGTATCGATCGAAAGGGTGTAGGCATCCGGGTGTGAGATGCGCTTGTGGGCCTTCCCTCTCGATGCGGCGATGACACAAGACTTGCATTCTCTATTGTACGGTACATGACCGTTCAGAAGATGCCTTTTCCAGGCTTCCAGGTCCATCCTCTTGATCTGAGGCTCCTCACTACCCAGCTCTTCACGCACCGCGACCACCAGCGCTGCCTTGAGACCTGGCGCCCATGAAGCCCAGGATCTCGACCGAGCGATCCTCGCTTGGATGGATTCTCCTTGGTGATCGTCTCCCCCCTGTCCTGGTCCTCGTAGTCCCTCCAACTCGAGGAGCCTTGGCATGTTGGTTCCAATCCTTGTAGGTTTTCTCCGGGCGTGTCCCATTGGGCCTTGGTCGAATCTCACCTCGAACAGCTCCCAGAGGTCCTTGATCTTCTGCCATTCCGGCCAGCTCCAATAGGTCGGGTACCGGGGGCGCCCACTCAGCTCCCTTGGCTTTCCACTCATCTCCATGTTCTCCCCGGCCATCTCTCCTGCTCCCGTCTTGGCTTCTCCCAGATAGGCCTCCGGGTCATCTGGCTGTTCCAAGGCCGTTACCACCTTTCGAGGTTGAGCCGCTCTCCATGCCCGATGGTGAAGGTAAATCTGCCTCAGCCAGAGTAGAGTGTCATCTTCCACCTGCTGCCTCAGTACTGGGTCCAGATTCGGCAGTCCAAATCTTCCCGGACCTTCTCGTTCTCGAAGTGGAGGTGGCCCTGGCTGTCGATACCGCAGCCTGCTCATCGTCCTGCAGGGCGGCCCCCCCAAGAGCGCTCGAAGTGTGCCACCGTCGGCAATCTCCAGCAGGTAGGCAAAGACGTCGTCCTGGAGGATGTTCATGCCGGGGTCAATCACCGTGTCCACACATAGGACTGCTCTGCCTTCCGACTCGAGCTCCCTCTGCCAATACCTCTTGGTGTCCCCGCTGAAGAGGTGCACCACAACTTCCCGCGCCTTGCGAACTCGTCTCCGCTCATGTCGGTTCCAAGGGATCGACTCCCCCCTCCATCCAACCTTCGGCAAAATCCTCACCAACAGCCGAAGCGGGACCTCTGGGAACAACTCTCGGAGCTCCTTGAGATGGTGAATCTCCCCCAGCTCGAGCTCGCTCTGATTCTCCTCTCCGTTCAGCACCGCCAACCTGGCTCTCTCCCGAACCATGCTTCTCTCGATCTCTGCAATGAGCTCTCTTCCCAAGCCTTCCCCGACCGTTGGGCACATGCCTTCAATCGCGACATCCAGCAGGGCACCACTCGGGTCCGTCAGCGTGAAGCGCTCCTTCTCCCAGTAGGCCTCATAGCCGAGCGAGATCAGTACGCCAAGCGGCACGATGGTCTGAACATCGTTCTGTGTGAGAAGGGTCTTTGTCCAAGGAAGCTGCCTCAGCACCACTGATCCTTCCGCAAGCTCCACTCGGACCTCTTGGGCCCTCATCCATTCTTCCTCCGACTCCGCCTTCCTGAGCCAGTGGGTTGCTCCTCCGTCGAGGAGAGCACGATCCGTAGTCTTCACCTCCAGGCTGCTCAGCTTGACCGCCTTCAGCGAGGCTCTCCCATCCCCAGCCGGTCTCAAGGTCTTCAAAAGAGTAGTGGCCTCCGACAACAATGCTTGAACTTCTCCAGAACTAGCTGCCGGCTTTTCCACCCTCTTCTCATCCACCACCTCCTCAACCGAGGACGCCTGGTTCTCGACCACGGGCTCCCGCTCGTTCTTCTTGGCCCCACCACCTTTCTCAGCCTCTTTCTTGAAGGTCTTCACCTGCTTTTCTCCATCACCCTTCATCTTGGTGGCCGGACACTCCCGCTTGGAATGCTTGGTCGATGAGCACCCAAAGCAGCGGCCCTTCTTCTCCAAGTTGGTCCAATCATGTTTGAACCGGCACTCCTGTCCTTTCCGGCAGCCCTCTTCTGATCCCCAGAAGCGACAGATCTTCTCCTCGGATTTTACCTCACTCTTGGCTTTCCCAGCCCCCTTATCCCCCTTTTCTTCAGTCACTGCCGCCATGGCTTTGACCTTGGTTGCCAAAGGGACCGTCTTGACCTCCGTCACTGGCTGCAGTTCACTGATGGCCAACGACTCGGCCTCCGCAGTGAGCATGTCCGAGAAGTTCAACACCGTCTCCAACGAGGGCGTCACGTCCACCCCGAGAGCCGCTCTTGTAGATGACATTCGAAAGGCCACCTGGCTTGATGTCTTCCCCACCAACTCAGACATTCGATCAAGCGCCCCCAGAAGGAGGGTAGCATCCGGAGTGGCAATCTCCAGCTCCTGGGCGCGTCTCAAGCTGCGCCTCCATCCCCTGAGTGCCTCAACCACTTCATTCATCGTCTGGGGGGTCTTCGGTTCCACCAGCTGACGAAGGAGTCGGGACCTCTCAGCAAGCCCCCCCGGGTTGATAGCGCCGAAACAGCGCATAGAGAACCTCCACCGAGCTGGTCGTCCTGCTAGCCAGGATCTCCGCCTTGATGCTCTGCGGAACTGCGTTGAGGAGCATCAACTGGCCTCGCTGTTCCAGCCGACTCCAAACCCCCGTGCACTCCGTTGGGACCCTCGGCCGGATGTAGAGCCTCTGGACTGGTTCCGCCTGAAGCCACTCTCGATACGCCATCATGGCGAAGTTCAACACCTCCTCCCACCATTTCCAGCTCGTGGCGCTCAGGTCCTTCATGGTCGGGGTCACCAGCTGAATCCAATCTCCCAAGATGAGAGACCCCAGATCACCTTCTCGAAGATCTTGAAGGGGTGGCCCACTGTCCTTCAGGTGAGCTCGTCCCCAGCTGCCGAAGCACCGACTGGGCAGCTTGCTCAAGTGGTGAGCCCCGGATCAGCTCCCGGTTCTCTTCACTGCCCCCTCGACCCTCTCGATCTGGTACTCGTTGATGGCCACCTTGAAGTCCCCACCCTCCGGCTCCCCAGGATCCAGGCACTTCAGGTACTCCCGAACCTCTTGGAGCGTTGCCTCTCCCCATAGTTTCACCCTCCAACGACTTGGGGAACTCAGGAATCCTCAAACCGGCCCATGCCTGATCCGAATCATCCATCCTTCCCTTCACAGGGGTATGTGGAGGCGGATCCTTCGGAGGTGATGGTGGTGGTGTCGACATTGGGGGCTTGGGTGCATCTTCAATGGCCGCAACCCTCACCTTCCCCTTCTGCTCCTGGGTGACCTTGGACTCCTTGATCTCCTTTCGCAGCTCCCCAACCTCCTTCTTCAAGGCTGCGTTCTGCGCCATCACCGCCTTCAGGAGTTCCTTGACGTCCATTGAAACCCCTCTCTCTTCATCCACAGGCTCCACCCGCCCTGAAGGTTGAGGCCCGTCAGCAGCATCTCCATCCGGCAGCGCCGCTGGTCGCATCGCCCTCAGCCGTGCTTCTGCCTGCATCCGCTCGCTCCAGAACGGGTTCACAGGCACTGACTTCGCGCCCTCACCTTTTCCTTTCCCAGCAGCTTCTCCTCGCCGCTGCGGGCCATAGGTGGTCGGAGGACCTTGGGCCAGAACCATGGCCGTCACAGGGACCAGGGCATCCGGCGCGTCCTCCAAGGCGAGGATCTCGTCCTCTTTGGCCGACTCCATCGACCCCTCCTCAGGCGTCGACGACGCCGCCGCCGCTGCCGCTGCCGCCGGCGCCGCACCGCGCTTGGACATGGCGGCCAGCAACCAAGGGGCCCACGCGGCACCTCTTGGGTGGACTTCCCCACCCTTAACACGTTGGGCTCATAACCCGCAAAACCCTTGGCGACCGCTTTTGTCGCCACTCGAACGAAAGGGCTCCATTGGCCTCTAGGTTTCATGAACTGACTTGGTACACTTCTCGATTTGGTGCATCTGGAATTACAACCCACATAGATATCACCCGTATGTGCTTTTCTGCAACCTCCTACCACATCACAAGAATCAAACAGCTTTGCTGAGCTTCGCTTCGCTCTTGGATCTGTCTCCGCGTGGGGGGGGTTGGAGCCGCCTCCGGTGACATGCCAAGGCTTCGCCCTTCGCTTCGGGCCGGGATCCTTGGGAAGCGTTCGCATGGACTCCGGCGCAAAGGTCCAGGCACCCTCGGGAGATATTTCGATCCTCGGACGTGCAGCGTCAGGCGCCCTTGTGGCGTGGGTGGCATTCCAACAAGCGTATTTTGGTGGTGCTTTCTGGTGTGGTTGTGGTTTCAACAAGAGGGCTTTCACAAATGCTGCACGCTCCTTCAACACTTAGGACTGACTTAATGAGACAATTAAAAGTTACAGTTCAAGGTGCAGTTGCTGGCAAACTTGTGAATAGCAGTCAATACAGTTTGTAAACATCCACACGCAACCCGGAATGAGCCTATCTTCTACCTCAATCAACTCATGATATTGCACCATGACCCTGAAAGCTGCAGGAATGTCAACGGTCAAAACGGCTCTAGCTCTGAAGACGTGCATCACAAGTAAGTGCCTGGCTCTTCCACAATCTTGAGGATGAGCTCATAATCAATCCCATCACTCTCTGACCTGAGTCCAGCATTGGGAAGCCTCTTCACAACATAAGCCACATGAAGAAGGCTCTCATGATGACGTGCCACGGACTCCAACAGCCCAAGGCAAAGGCATTAAGGTTTGTCGCAGCTCGTCCGGACCTCATCGTGCAGCGCACCGGTGTCGTGCTGAAACGAAGAACCAGCCCTCGGGCTTTCCCATGGCTTCCCTATCCCTTTGAACCATGCGTGGCTCTGTCCCCTTCCAGGCCTTTTGAGGACTTTTCGGGGGGAGTGGGGCGCCCCCCGCATCACCTCTTGACCGAAGGATTTGGAAGAGGTGAATCCCGTTTTGGAGATGTCCATTTAACTAACCAGCTCGAGGTTCCTGTGCATCCTACCCACCCCCAAAAGTCCAAACAGCAGCTATACCGGCTATACAAATCTACTAATCTACTCTAATTACATCTAATTACACAATATTGTATATATATATATATATGTGTGTATCTACTCTAATTACACAATATTATATATATATATGTGTATTTGGAAGGTTGGTGGATTTCGCACTGGCACACCGCACAGCGGGCGGAATCTCTGGGCATCCCTGCTTTTCGCTTCAGGCGAGCGGTTCCGACCTAGGAGACGAATGTGTGGACCAGTGCCAAACTCCTAGTTGGAGGTGCTTGTATGTGCTCAACAATCTTCAGAGATTGGATCCTAACTGCTGCATGTGACAGGGTGAACTCAGAGGCTCTCTCCAGTTTCAGGATCATCTGATCTCCCTGCAGATGTTGAAAACACACCCAGCGTAAGGCCTGAGGGGTCTAGTTTCCTGGCAGCCACTACTTGTTACATGTTACAAACGCATCCAAAATCCATCTGTGACGGTCGCACCCAGGCGAGCATTGATGGTCTCGAGGTAGCACTCAGCCTGAGGGCAAAGCCGATCGGCAAGTCTTGCCGTGTCTTTCGGATCAAAGTCATGCGTCAAAGTCAATCTTCTGAGCTTTTCAGTGCACCAGTGCACTGCTGACCGTCAACACGCAAGTTGCTCATGAATCTCATTGCCACCAACACTCAAACAATGGAAGACTCAGCAATCGAAGCGTCCTTGGAGCTCTGAGTTCCTGGGCCACCGGATGGCAGAAGGCCGGGCCTAAGGAGCTTTGGCAGTGGAGCCCTAGCAAATTGTTGTGCCTCGTTTCCTTTCCTCCCAACACCCAAAACACCCAACATTGTAAAACAATGTAAAACACTGAAAAAGTTGCAAGGTCAGGCCTCGAGCAGAGTGGTCTCCCAGTGGGAGCGGAATTCTCTGGGCCCCAAGCAAACCACCATCGGCGGCTGCACAAGCTCGCCCTAAGAGGGTTCTTTCGAAACAGTCGTCTTTCTTTGATTCCAATCTCCGTTTACGTAAAGAAATTCTTAATACTGAACAACTGCCTGGTCCAGTCCGGGACTGGTCCAATTCCCCTTTTCGAAGACTGTCTCAAGCTGAGGGATGAGCCACGGTTACCACTTTTTCCGGAAAGCCTTAATTTGATCCAACAAATCACCTCGTGCTTCGCATTACTCTCGATTTATAAGGCACATGCTGAAGTATTTCAGGAAGCACTCCGTGTCCATGGTGGCACCTGAATGCGAACCATTAAACAATGGCCGCTAAACAAGAAGAACTGGGTGTGAATCTCGGGCCTCTGCAAATTTCATTCTGTATCCAATCTTCTGGAAACCCTCACTACAATAGTGGAAGAGTCCCTTGAAAGGGGTGACACAAAACATCTCGGCCTGTCTCGATCTGCTTGTAGCGGGAGACCTCCACCCTTCGCAGACTGAGCCTTGCTGAGCTTCGCACTCATGAGAACCACCCGGAGCTTGGGCCTATTGTTCCGGACCTGGAAGTGTCTTGGCGAACGGCCCAACAAAGGCCGGAAGGTGCCTAGAACGCGATCACCCTTGCGCCACTGTGGGTCGCACTGCCCATGTGAGGCGATCACACATGAGAAAAGAAAGATTCTAGATCCACGTCATGGATCAAACCGGATTTTGAAACAAACGTCAAGGCCAAGGCATGTTGTCTGTTTCGCTTGGCAAAAGCTACTAAGCTACTGGTGCTGACAGTATGGGGCAAGTTGGTTGAGAAGCAGTTCAGATTTATACAATTCTCACCACAATTCGATTCTTCTGCCCTTCCCTTCCAACCTGCTTAAGGAAGGTCAGCATGAAGTCGGTCTCGACCCCTCTCTCGTGCACCTCGTCCACAAGTAAGTGAGTAACCTTCAGGCGCTCGCTTGAAGACACAGTCGGATGCAGTCAAACAATGTGTGCACCGTGGTTTCTTGAATCTTCAGCCCATCAGGCAAGTCTAAGCCCCAACGTGAGATGAACATCTGAACTCTCCAACTTTGTGCTGACTCGCAGCCGTCTTCGGACCAAACATGAAATTGTGCCCCTCATTCGCCAGTCGACGCCTAAGTTTGTTGCAGGCCACAAAGTTGAGTGCTTCTTTTGGTTTGACATGTTGCAACCTTCCCATGTTTTCTTGCAATGTTATAGCAGCAAACACAGTATCGAGACTGAAGGCAGCCAATTGTGCAGAAAGTAACGTAAGCAAAAGCAGCGGAGGCAATGCTTTTGCGCGCTCCTCACAAGGTGCCCTGGCTCTTGGGGCCAAGCAGGATCACTCCAGTGGTGCAGAAGAGTAGTTTGCATTTGGGTCCCGCCACCTCAAGACATCAAGAATGACTATCGATTGATGGCAAGTTTGTGCAGGTAAAACACAGTCACTGATGTGTTCAACATGATCGGATCAAGGACCTAAGAAGCTGAACTGTGCTGTCACCTTACTGCCCAAGTCCTTGCTGCACTGCAGCTAGCGAGTCTGCATTCAGAATCCAAGCCAAGCACGGTGATGTGAGTTTGCGGACCACAACAGAAAAGTCCAACAATAGCAGTGTGCTTTCTATGTTCACAACATTTCACAACCTTTCATCTGACTCTGTCCTTGACAAATGTAGGAGCGAGATTCCAAGTTCCCAGCAGTAGTGCCACGGATCTTGTAGCCTACCACCCCCTCGCCAACCTGAAACCCATAGTCCATTGAAGAAACTCTGGTGAAGCTCATTACCGTGGCTGAGGAGCAAAGCTTCAAACGGCACGTGGCCCAGGTCTGAGAAAGCTACTTAATGTACAAGAAAGCTTGTAAAGGGCCTTAAGTCTTAGACTTTTCGAACCCTTACTGCCCCTTACTAGCAAACGCATCCGCGTCCAAAAATGGTAGTTGTCTTGTCACTGCAGCTACAAGGAGACCTCACCATCTACAGTGTAAATGACCACCTGGACGGCACCTTCTCTCCAAGCTCTTCCGCCACACGCTTGGCCACCGTGATGGCGGCAATCCGCCGAGGCCTCAGACGGCATCGACACCCAAAAAACACAAAAAATTGGCCGAGTTTAGAGAGAGAGAGAGAGAGAAAAAAAAAAGAAAGAAGAAAGAGAGCGCGGGAGGAGAGAGAGAGAGAGAACAGGTGAGCTGGAGAAGAGCTTTCATGTATCTTGGAGGCCATATAACTGTCAGGTCTCTGGAAGTTCTCCCTGCCAGCATGTATATGCTATATCTATGCGCTATCAATTGCTACTCATATGCTTTTGCCACCATCAGTTATGCGGATGCGTTCCTTCCAGGAGCGGGTTCATGCGCTCTGTGCTCCCCCACTGCGTGACGACGATCCGCACCGGCCGCCGCAGATCCGAGGAGGTCTTCCCCTCTGGGCGTCGGGCGTCGGCCTGGGCCTTGAGGGCTGCCTGGAGCGCTTTCGGTGGGAAAACGGTGACAATTCGTTGGAAAACGGACTGGTTGAAATCCCCTCAAGTGGTTGAGCATTCCTTACCGGACATTCAGATTCAAATCATCGTTTCAACCTCAGAGCTGCTGTGTGTGCGTGTCTCGTTTGAAATGCAAGTTTCCGCTGCGGGTCAACAGGCGTGCCTCTAGAATGTACTGCGGGACCTGGAATCCGGCAATCAAGACTGAAGAAACAGCATTGGCACTCTGCAGCCACCAAGTCATTCTATTCAGCATCAAGATTTGTATACCACGTTCCACAAAATGAGCTTGCAGCTTGCCTGCGTTGTTTTGCCACAACCGGTCTCTCCTTGAATCAACCTGAGGCTCTGTGTTTCAAAGGCAGCAAACATGTCAGTTGCTTGCTGCCATAAGTTGCAAGGTCCGTAAAGCACAAACAAACAAAGTGTACCAGGTTGTCGTTTCATCCCTTCTTCTGCTGAGATATTTGTGCATGTTGTTGCGGACCCAGGATTTTCCTCCCATTGCAATTCTCGGAAGGCACCTCATTTGGTTGTTCGTCTTGCTTGCAGGGTTCATAGGCAATAGACATGAAACAGAAACATTGTTGTTGCCGACCATCCCACGTCGTTGTAACACTTGATTCTGAGTCCCACATGTCAGTGAGTGCATCTCAGGACTCAGGAGCTTACACGATTTGATTGTCGTTGATGAGCTGAGTGATCTCCTCCTGAGTGAGAGGTTTTCACAAGCGACATCAGATTTGAACAAGACCTACTCCCTTTCGGGACGTGTTTGCCTACACCAGTTGTGTGGGCGAATGACCCAAATGAGCAAGACCTGCTGGTCAGCGGCTTCCACTTCCTGCGGCCGCTAGCACGGGGTCCTTGTGCTCTGCGATTGGAAGCTTGTTGATGATGGCACTCTTGAAGGTGTAGTTGTCCTGACAGCAAGCGACCCTTCGCGCGACCCTTCGCGCCCTGTGCATGACCACATCACTGTTCACACATCTGTGTTTTCCCGTTTCAAAGGACTGACCGACCGGCCCATCACTGTTCCACTCGTGGCCTCCTCCATGCCATCAGGCCCAAACCACGCCCTGGGCATGCCACGCTCCACGCGCCGCAGCCGGACGACCTGCCCAGCCAACACTCGTTCGGAGCGCCGATGCCACGGCGCCAGGATTGGCCGGAATGAATTGGTCGACCCAGCGGCTCTTTCTTGGCTTTTGCAACAAAACTCGCTGTTGGCTTCGGAAGCTGCTTTTGCGGCTCAAACACTAAATCTGGAAACAGGTCATGGTTTCTCATCAAGCTCCTATTCTTACTGCATGTGAGGTGCCAAAAGGAGAAGACTACCCTGGAAAAGCGGATCCTTCTCCAAGATAGAGACGCTCCGCGGGTCTCCGTCGAAAAAACGCCGGCGATGCTGCACCACTGGTGTCGCCTCTTCGTTGTGAGTCCCCGAATCACTGAAGGTCTTCGAAGGCAGCGCTGCCTCGCGGGCTGCCCATCATTCTGCCCTCTGGCCGACAGTCAAGTCCAAAACATCAAAAAGTCTTTAGCCCATGGCCTTGCCTCCTTACTTCATTAAGGAACAGCGCCTACTTATATACTGTATACTGTATGAGTAAGGGCGCTCAGGGCCACTAGTTAGCTCCTAGTAACTGGACGCGGGATAGCTCACGCTTCTTCAAAGAAGCTCCCCCACCTGAGGGCGGGTGGAGCTTCCTTGAGCACTAAATGATTTGGTTCCGAGATTTTATATAGGATTCTGCAGTTCTCACCACACACGCGCCACGCTCGGCACACGCCTTCATCTTCACGAGGCTGGTCGCCGTCTGGAGCAGAGAACGAAACAGCCACTCTCTGCACTCTCTGCACTCCCTGAGGTCCTGGCCACCTCCTCCAGATCATTGAGGCCTTCACATGTAGGAAAGCTTTCTCCCAAAGATCGATCTCCTTTTGATTCTGGTTGCAAGTGCCAATCTGCCTAGCCCCAGGCATGATAGATTGAGATGCTTCTTGCTAGGTAGAACTCTTGGTTTCAGTGTGATTGTGAACGCATTTGGCCGGTTTGCTTGTAGTAAGTTGACCCATAGATAGAGGCCATTCTCTTGGAATAAGAAGTGCTTTCAGATATATTATAGTGCATACCGCATACCATCATACCCACCTCTAGGAAACAAACACAAGTTGGAGCTAAAAAGCACGTGCTTCATTAGTTTCTGGATGCCTAGTTGGATGCTGCAAACCTTCAGGAAAATACCTTAGGACTGTCTTGAAATCGTCTCAGGTGAGGCAAGCAGTTTCCCGGTCTCATAGCCTCAAGAGGCAGTCTCAGGTGGGGCCCCCACTCTCATTGGGTTCCAAGTCAATGTTCGTCGACGGGTCCTTCGCAAGTGCCAGGTCAATACAGCTGGTGTGAAAGTGTTGCACCAGTTTAAACAGGTGTACTGAGGGTCCTTGTACTTACAAAAACACGTCCCAAACGAATGGGCTTCAGTCGCAACGACCAGCAAAGTGACATAATTTGCAGCCTGGCGCAGAATGTCCCTGAGGCGGGTGAGCACCTCACCTCAACTGACGGTACTGGTGGCCGCAGTAGCAGAACATAGTTCAAGCAGGAGCTCTCTCTAGGACTTGTCAGTCTCCAACCGCTGCAACTTATCTCACTACCCTGTCAGGCAGGTGGTTGCCAACTTCAGACCTTGCTAACATCTAGGAAAGGGAACAATTGGGCGAAATGAACTGAAAAATCATTAAACGACAACGGCTGTCTCTTTGAACCACCAGTCTGGTGGTTTTCGTGGCCGCAAGTTCTTCTGCAACATCCACCTTTACATGCGGCAACACCCCGCAACCTCAGGCACTTGCGGTAGGTCTTCTCAGCAGAGTCCTGAACTTGGGAAATATGAGTTTGCGGGCGTGGGCTGAGATACTCTCATTGAATGGTGAGGTCCATTTGGCATTTGCTTTGACCGTTCAACCAAATCCAAGTTCTGATCATTGTAGAGCAAGACAGCCCGCGAGTACAGGTGCAAGAAACATCAAGGTAGTGGGCAAATTGAAACTGTCCAGCGAGGAGTTCTTGTAGAGGTCACTCAGCATGTACCTGGTACAGCAGCTGAGGACAGTCTTGATCCTAGTAGCTTCTTGCTGCTAGTAGCTTCTTGTTACTAGTAGTAATGGCCTCCAACCTAATAGCGATGGCCTCCACCTAGTAGCTTCTTGCTACTAGTAGCTAATATATTTCATTTGAGTGTCTGGACCACCGTCTTCAGCGTGTGGCTCTTCAGGCAGTGTTAGTGTTAGCCTTTCCAAGGGCACTGAACGTAAGATGGTGGCAAGTTGTGGTGAAAGGTGAGCGCCGCGACTGCTTTGGCCACATGCTCCTGGCGCGAACAAATCCTTCAGCCGCAAAGTTGACTCTGCAAGGTCGACTCTCCTAGGAACAAGTGCATCGCTTCTAGTAACAAGTGCCTTACTAGTAGTAACAAGAAGCTAGTAGAAACAAGTGCCACGCTAGTAGTAACAGGTGCCTTACTAGTAGTAACAAGGTTCGCTACTAGGTCGACTCTCCACCTAAAGAATGAGTGCCGACCTAGGGTTCCTCCCGAACTCGCGGAACCCACTGGCCTCCAAGGACGAAGAATCCCAGTCTGAACTGTCCTGGCCAGCAGAACCCCCCTGATTTGTTCTTCGAGCAGAGCCCGCAGTCTCGTCCCCAACTCCCTAGAGCACAGGGGCACGAGCACGAGAGTCTTAGAAAGAACGATCAAGAAAAACAAACACTTTTCATCTGGTTGTCGCCCTTCTACGAGAAGTGTCTAGTTTCGGACTTATCCATCAGAACGACTCCACCCAGGCCATTCTGCCTTCTCACTTCCGTCCCACTTCCGTTCCTTCCGTCCGGCCCTCTCCGCCTTCTCAGCGATGGGCACCCGAAGGATGGACTCCAAGATCCGCCGCAGGCGATGGGACAGGAAGACGGGACACTCCTCAAAGCGAGCGATGCGCCGGCGTGGGATTCAAAGACGGAAGACACAAGGTTCCTCCGAGTGACTGGAGGTTCCATTGTATTAGAAAGGAGGTCTCACCAAGAAGGCCAAGCATTTTGGTGTCTAGAACATATTATCTAAAACTCATCAGCCTTCAGCAAGAGGCGTCTACCGGACCGCAGCCTCCCTGAGTGCGTGGCTCCCTCAAGCTCCGCTTTCACTCGTGCAACGTCTCGCATTTGCCTCGATGTTTGAGGATTAAGAATGCGAGAGCCCGGTTTCACCCCTGAACCTCCACACCAAAAATCATTTGCTTGGAGCTACGGAAGCTAACCCATTGGACTGGTGCCACCGCAAGCGCTCTTCAAGCATCTTTGCGCGCTGCGGACTCGACTTTTTCTGAGGTCACACAGATCGTCGTGCGGGGCAGCCAGGAGAATGCCTCACCTTGGCAGCCATGAGTTTCACCGGGCCCCGGGAGTAACTGCAAGACACCATGGCATACCATGGAATCAGAACAACATAAGCCTCGGCCTTCCTTTGAAAAGTCATGAATTGGCCAAAACATGCCAAACAGGCCACTAACTCACTTATGGCAGTTGAGTCCATCTTTGATGACATGCAGAAACATGTGCAAAAATCTGGAGTGGTCGGTGGACAAGGAACAATCCACCGCCACGTGAGGTTGATCCGCGGGGCACGCACCTGCAAGCGAGGTGCGTACATCGGATCCAAATTCCAACTCTTCACTGATCTTATCATGCTGAAGCACCCATGCAACAAGTCAAGCTACAGTACCCAACACAATCTTACATGGAACCTGAGAATTGACCAGTGGAAGACCATCTTAACTTTCGTCCACAACCAAGTGGTTTAGGGTTCCAATGCGTTCTATATGAATCTGCAGGAGAGTGACATAAATTAGATCATTTCTTTTCCGACAGCGAGTTGATACTTGTGGAATATCTGTGAATATCTGTGAATCTGAGTTGATACCCAATTTCAACAACTCAAGAGGTCAAAAGAAACTGGAAAGTGGATCTTAGATCCTCTTTTTTCGTTGCTTTCCCTATGGCCCAGGCTTCTTGGAACGCCAACCTGATCCTCGCGGGGCACCCGGTGCTGGAGATGCTTTTGCACCATCCCCTCCTTGCGGCCGGATACTCTGCTAGTCCTAGTCTTCTTCTGGAGACCATGGGAGTGTTTACAGGTTACAAGATGTTACAAGCGTTGCAAGGTGAAGCATGCCCAAACTTGATTCTGTTCTTGCCACTCTACTAGACTCTACCATGTGTCTTCCATCACCAGCACCTCAGTATCAGCCGAGCTTCCATGGTACAAAGGTCGCCCGCAGTCAGCGGAAGCCGGATGGTGTCAGCTTCAGACCTCAGTCAGCGTTCTGCAGATGCCAAAATCCTATTGAATCTGTTGCATTCCATGAAAAACTCCACCGATCAGTATTGTATAACCTGCTGGTTTTCTTGATTGTCAGCTGTCAGGTCTGTCAAGTGGTGTATTTCCTGGCGCCCCCTTCTTTCGGCTTGGGAAGCAAGCAGGTGGTACTCTGTTTTGCTACCCCCCTCGGAGCAACGCCGCGACGCGCCGCAACGCCCCGCGACGAACCGCCCAGCGGCCAATTCCTCCGGAGCTCGAAGCTACGCGTGGCGCCCAGGGATAAGGAGATGATGCGACAGTCGCGGTTCCTCAGAGCTCAAGAGGAGATATGAAGCACATTTGGACGTAAAAGGATGGATTATGTTTTCAGAGAACATCGTCAGCCTTCTTGTCAATGCTCTCCAACAATGACCATGGCATGACCACAGCACCTTTTACGAGCTGGGTGCAACTTGCATCAGTTTGGAGCGAGCTCCAATGGAACGAAATTTGTAAGAGCTTGGAGACAGGGCTCCCTGTTGTTGGAGGGTTCACTACCATGTTGCTGAAAAATTGGCGATGCTTAGCATCAACTGTTTTGGCGGCTGTTTTGCCAGGTGATTCTTAAAACTCACAAAAGAATGAGGAAAGGCGTCCCCAATACGGATTCCAGCCAGGCCGGAAAACCTCTGCACTGGGCCCGCGCACTTCCCCTGGAAGAGATGCTCATCATCTGCATGCCAACCGACGGAAGCACCTCAACCACACCGCAGCTGGGTCGCTTGGAGAACTCGGCAATCTTGGATCATCTTCATCTTCTTAAGCTTCTCATGATCCTCTTCAATCCTCTTCCACTTCTTGAGCTTACGATCTCTAATCTCTTCAGTACTAGCATCGTCTCCTCCTGGCCAACTACCAAAAGGATGCAGTTGTCGTTTAGTCTCCATCTCTCAAGTCTCGTCTCAAGCTCCAAGAACCTCCTGCACTTCAGCCAACGTTCCAAGGCTCAGGCTCCCATCCTGATAGAGGTTCAGATTGCAACTGTTCGGCCAGTCCTGAGCATCAAAAGGACAAAAAGGACACTCGACGAGATGCAGGAGACCTGTCTTTTTCACTCATTACACTTCTCCATGCACAGGCATATGTGTCACACCTGAATGTTTTTGAAATGATTCTGAATGCCTGTTCTTGAAGGCGGGAACCATCTTCATGGTGCTGGCCCGGCCTTTTGCTCGTTGATACCGCAGCAAGGCCTGCAGCCAGGAATCGAACCTCCAGTTTCCTCTATTTCCACGAACCTCCAACCTCCCACTGAGTGCCCTGACATGACCCAGTGCATCAAGGTGCACATCCATGGCGGATACCGCTGCGGTTCCACTTCGATGCGTCCATATCCTCGGAAGGTGGTAAACATGATTGAAATCAGTGTTTGAAAAAACTGTGTCAAATAATAAATATCAGGTCATGGCCATGGCCTTTGTCCGCCCTGTCTCAAAGTCGCAAGTGACATCATTCTGACTGCTAGAGAGTTCTACCTCAAGATTCAATGGAAAGGGGCCCGTGCGCCCTAGAGGCTTCTCTTCAACTAAAACGCAACAGCTTTGTTCATCTGACTTAACCACAGCCACTTCTCTGCCAGGAGTCTATATGTACATGTGCAATCAAAGTAGACCATCCAGGCAGTCTTCCGTGGAATGGGCCCATTCGGGCCAGATGGTTGTAGCCATTTGGCACCTTGATTGCCACTGAGCAGTTAGTTCGCCAGGTCGGTGTCCGGTGTCCATGATTTCGAGGCATCACATGTGGCGCGTGCAAGGAACAGTCTTGTTGTTTTGATGTCATCAACATGCAGTCTCGTTTTCACATCAACGTGGATGTCTCGTTGATTTCTGGACTCCAATGCCAGCAATAAGTTCAATCCAGTGCAAACAAGGAGCCTTCTAAAGCCTTCTCAAAAAAGGAGCTGCAAACGTCTTGGCCTCAGAATCCATGGTCAAACGTCTTAGCCAGCTGGAAGCATATCTGTATTCCATGTCAGACGTAGAATCTCTCCAAAGGAGCATCCGTCAAGTGGCTCAATGTCCGCGGTAGAAAACCCACGAAGCTCCGTGTTGTCTCATCCTTCAGAACCTCAATCGACTCATCCGGAAGGCTCGGATATCGTTGAAAGTGGGCCACTAGATGTCACTTAGTCCGTCAATGATGTCCATCTCTCCAGCATTGAAGATTCACAGAGCTGAGCAAGGGGCATAGTGCCATGAAAGATTCCTTGGACTGGTGATTGAAAGAAACAAGCGGTGCGTGGGTGGTGTACCAGCAGCTGCTGGATGCAGTCTGGGGGATGAAGAGTACACCGGACTGAAGCACTATGAAACAATCAAACAGCTGAATGGGCCCAGACTGCCAGGATCAATGTCAAACATACGAAGCCACACTCTACTGGCGATCCAGAAACCCTGCAAACCATGCAACTCTGTCGCGTGATTTTGCAGGGGCTACACAGGACCGATTCTGTTGTGCCAGGCTTCGACGGCGCCTCCTCTCCAATCAGCTTCAAGCCGGTCACTGATCGGGGCTCCTGGACTAAACGAGGGCACTTTGGGCGCAGTGCAAAGTAGACATGTAGACATCGTCATGTAGACATGGTCTGACGTTTCTGCGGTCTGACACCATGTGGCAGCCATCGGCGACCTTTTCACCTCTTTGTCCCACTTCCAAAGTCTAGAGACATCTGGCTGAGACACGAGGAGTGAAACATTTCGACGACAAAAACCTGAGGCGTTTGGGCAAATGCAAAGAATTCAACACCATCAGGTTGCTTCCTCTCTTTCATGAAATCACGTGCTTCCTCAAACTCGTGTTGCTTCCTCTCGCGTTGCTCCGCAGTTGCTGCAGCTGGATCCCTCAAGTGGAAGGCCACATGAGCGACAAACTTTCGGTCGCTCCGCAGCGCCTTGCATGACCTCCACGGTCTTGTTGAAGGACGTCATCGCCTGCAACCTCTCACATGCCAATCGAAGCTCGCAACGATCACTCCTGAACTTCACCGGGTATCTTTTGTAAGTGGCGGGGGTCGAGGCCAGGCCATCGCCCTGACTGTGAACATGTGCACGGAATCTGGCCACAATACCTTCAGCCCACACTTGATGCTGCTGGTCAGTCTCCGCCTGCAGGTCAAGGGTGCGATCTTCAGCGATGACTGAGATGACGAGATTGGGATTGAATCTATACCCACCCTTTGGGTGGCAGCAGGTCGCAGGCATGTCTGCTTGCTGAGCCACTGGTGTCTGCAGTCCCACGCAAACATCCTGGATGTTCCCAAGGGGAAAAATGCCTCGAGGCCTTGCTGCTGCGTGGTCCTTCCAAACGATCGCCTTTAATGTCTCGTCAAACTCCACATACCTTCTCTTGGCCCTTCCATTGCGACCCCATTTTAGAAAGAATGCGGCCTCCATGAACTTGACACCGGACTGGGCTGGAAGAGAACCGGACTGAACATGGAATGCAGATGCGACGGACGTCTCTGTGGGAGATGGCGACTGTGGGCTCAGGACACCACGCTGGCGGGTTCCAATGCTACCGCGCTGGCCCTTCTTTTCACTTTTCGCTTCTTTCTCCTTGCTTCCTTTTCGGGGTTCTTGGAGCTTTCGATCAGAGCCTGCTGTGTTTTGAAAGCCCTCCTGTGGCAGAAGCATCATTGAAGTCTTCCAGGGCAACATGCTCACACCACCATTCATCAATGAAGGCAGTGAGGGCGCGGCCAGAACATTCGGGTGTAGATGATGGATCTGCACTTGCAAAGCCTGTGGCTGGCCACTGCGGCGCAGCTTCACCATCAAGGGACCAAGCTGCGCCTGCTTGCAAAGCACCAAGCCCTTGTTGTAGTGATCCACAGTTCGAGCCAAAACACCATCCAACTCTACCTCAAAGGAGCCCAACATATTGGATTTCCCAACAGCCAGCTCCACCTTTCGTTGCAAGCGTGCAAGCAGCTCTTTCATGAGTGCCTCCTGAGAGGGTCTTCGTGCCAAATCGGTCACCAAGTCCATGTCGCGAAGTCCACTCTTGCTGAAGAACAGCATCCTACGTCGGAAGGGTGCCCAATCCATGGCATTGACCTCACCAACTCGTGCAAATGCAAAGGTCATGAGCTTCCCCAAGTCATTCACATGTTCCTTTAGGAAGCCCAAGTTCTGCAGCATCACTGGAGTTACAGGTGAGAATTGGTCTTTGGTATGCCCCAAAAGGCCATCCCATGGCTCCAACACAGCAGACAAAGGTGTGTCACCCGTCACAAAGCTATTATCCATCAACTCGAAAGTGTTCAAACCCAGAAAAATGCAGGTCGGCAAGCCCTTGTGCTTCTGGATGGGTTGGATGCTCACGATGTTTCGGCTGGGCTGCTGCAGCCCGGCATTGAGATTCACCACCTCCAATCTGCCCACGCTCACCTCAATCCACCTGGCAACTCTGAAGCTTTTGTGTCCCTTCTGAATGACCTCAAGCACAATATTCTTGACAGATGCGGAGACCACTGGCTGTCGAGTATGCATCTTCTTGCTCACTGGCCGCTCAATGTCTTCTGGCCGCTCTTCATCCACCAATGTACCTGGCTTGTACTTGGTATACCAGAAGCCGCCATGAGCCACGAGGAAAAAGACTTGAAAGCCCTGGAAGGTCACCTTCACCTGCAGAGTTTGAGGTAGTGGTCTATCCTTCACTCTGGCAGCCTTGCTCTCTGTGCGGCTGTCCTCCCGCTGAGCTGCCTCAAGCGGCGTTGATGCAGTAGCTGCCTGACCATCACGAGCAAGCCAACGGTCGCGAGCTTGCATCCGCCAATCGAGAATCTCCTTCATCTTCAACATCATCTGCATATCAGAAACCGCCTCCATGGCTTGTGCATGCTTTCGAGCATCCTCTTGCCCAGCTCTGACCAAGAGGTCCAAGTCCTTTGCATGGTTGACAGCTGTGATATACCTCTCCCGCAGAGCTGCACGATTTTGCAAATCTTCTGCAGACAGGTCCCTTTTCGGGATCTTGCAAATGATTTGAACCGCCTTCATCGCATGCTGCCACCAAGCTCGTACTAACTCGCGCCTTGCACTCCCAGGCTTTACAGCATTGATCGTTTGGGAGGGCCGCGACAACATCAGGGTGTCCTTGAAACCAAAGTTCTTCATGTAGGACAACAAGGAGTTGATGCTTCGCAGCTGTTCCGAATCAATGGCCACATCTAAGGAGTAAACCACCACATCAGCATCGCGCAAAGGAGCCTTCTGGATCCGGGTCGCCTCGCTGGTCTTGTTCGCGGTGATGTGAGCATTCAAACCAGCAGGGAAGATGATGTACTGATGATAGTCCAACCTTTCTCGAAAGGTTGGACCTTCCATGTATTTGCGACGTGGATGCTGTGGTGGATAGAGCTCCAAAAGCTTCTCCACAACGCAAGCTGAAAAGGTTTCCCGGAGGTTCAATCGCTTGAAGCGAGCAAAGACCTCTTCGCCACTGGGAATGGAGGTGAAATGCCGATGGCCATGCTCCAAGTCCCAGTAGACAGACATCCGCCGGGCGACAATGGTTTGGCTGAAGAGAGGATCCGCCAGGGTGTCCACTGTGTGCCGCCAGCAGCCTGTCGTCCGCTGGGAGTTCACATCCTCAGTGGCGAAGACTGCGCAGTAGCCCAGCTTGAAACCACATGCGTACGGCACCGGCTGTGTCTTGGAGTCCTCGAAGCGTACGTGAAAGTTGGTGATGTTCACCTCGATCATCTCAGCGACCTTCTTCATCAGGTCTTGCTTCAGCCGATCTTGCACGTCACTCAACCATCCAGTGGCTGACTCCTCAGCAGCTTTGGCCTTCCGCGGTGGCTTTAAGTCTAAGATCTTCATGACGAGGTCCACGAGCTTCGATTTGCACTGCTTCACATGCCCGTAGGACCAGTCCGTGGTGTGGGCACCAAAGACCAAGAAGACATTCTTGATGAGGATTTGAAGCGAGACATTCGCACCAGGATTAAAAACATCTAAATGCAAATGAACTGACAATTCATCTATGAAGCCACCACGAAGCGATACGGGCAGGTGCAGCCCGTCAAAGGCTTGGCCAACAATTGAAGCGTTCTTCAAGAGAAACTGACCTGTTGCTGCATCCACTCTCAGATTACCTTCATCCACCTTCAAGAACTCTCCCACTTTCTTGTCAAAGAATTGCTTGACGATAGCATCCATGCAAGTAGCGCTGAGCACCCTTTGGGTTGCTCATCAGCCATGTGTTATCATTTTACTACTTGTGGAAAAGAAAGGTGAGTGCTCTTCAAGTGCTCCTAACTCAGTCTTTATCTCTTTGCCCTTTGACTAAAATGCTTGTTACGGGCCCAACACCTGGCTGCAAACGGACTTCCCGCTTGGAACTCTGTATTTCGGGACTCACACATGCACGATGTGGGTCTTTTCTTCGATCCTTCCACGGTTTCGGCACAGAAAGAAGGTTCTTCATACGAGAAAGCTGAGATCTGAACAAATACCTTGGAGCATGGCCTACCAAGACTGAGAGGTCCGTGATCGAACTCGCTTCTTCGTGTGGTTTGAGGCTTAGGCCTCCCGAATCTCATCGAGCTCCTCCTCAGTGAGGCCTAGGGCCAGAGGCCAAGCTCGAAGACACAAGCTGGAAGGGCTAAAAGACAGTCGAAAGACGTCGAAAGCGAATAGATGTGCGACTTACTTCGCCCGCTCAAATGTCCAACTTCATCAAACCTCGTTTGGCGCAAAGAAAAATCGTCCTCAAAAAACACCAACTTCGAACGTTTCGCTTCGAGGCCTGGCTTCGACTCCTTTTCCTCGGCCTCATGTCGACGGCGTGCGGCTCGGCCCCGTGCGGCTCCAAATGGCTGGGACCAGCGGAGTTGGACAGCCCGGGCAGGAGTGGACTACTTCTGGCTAAAACGCAAAAAGCAACCAGTCTAACAGTGGCTTGCTGCAGCTAGAGAAAAATTGTGAGAGTGAGAGTGCCCCTGCCTTAAAGCTCAATGAAATACAAAGGGAAGCTGAAAATGATGCTTTTGGGTTTTGGGTTTGGATCAGCCTCATGCGGAGATTTGACCCATGTATCGTTTCATCACAGGCCTGCTTTTCTTAATTCTCGCAAGCAACATATGTGCCATCAATGTGCCTCGTCCCAACCATGTCGAGGCCGCTTCTGGCACAAATCGGTGGCTTCAAAATTCTTAATCTGTATTGATCACTGACCAGAGTCAGACCTTGCAGTGAGATACACGGGTCAAAGCCCTTGAGTGAACTACAGGACTTCCAAATTCTAGGTGAACATGTTCAGATGTGTGACTCAGGAATAGAAAAAACCTTTGACCAGTGGCCAAGTGACACAAGGCAAGCAAACTCCAATCCGATTCAATTAGGTCGCCATTTGTACAGGCAAAGGATCAGCAATACACGTAACTGAAGTGCAGCAGCAGCAGCAGCAGCGACCATGACCACGACCACGACCACGACCACGACCTGCAACAACGACACCAACAACGACAATAACATCCTCATCATCATCATCATCATCATCATCATCAGGCGCAAGCGATTGTGTTCAGACTTGAACGAACGGTCAGGCCTCAGATGGCAGCCCCTCAGCAATCAGCAGGTCAAGCCCAGAAAGCTCGTCGTGTTCGGCGCTCACCTATTGAGGAGGTGAACGGGAGCATTGTCACACGAGTTTTCTGCACAAACTGGCTGGTTCAAGTCTTGTTGCAAACTTGGCTCAATCCACTATGCTTGCCTCCCAGGCCCGATCAGTGAAACCTCTCTCAACAATCATGATAAGCGAGGGAGTGGACTGCTGGGCATCCACTCGACCGCAGAAGCACCGACTTCGGGGAAAATCTTGGACCCACACCTTCAGCTTCGAAGATCCAGGTGCTACCTCACAGAATTCGCTTCGAATGTCATTTTCAGCCCCCCCCCCTACCTTCATGGTGGACACTTGACATGTCCAAGCGTATTCGATCCTCGCCGTCCTCGCCGTCCTCGCCGTCCTCGCCGTCCTCGCCTTCGCCTTCGCCTTCGCCTTCGCAGCGGAGACCTCGTGGGCGGAAGGGTTGTGCAAACATTGACGGAAAGGGTGCTTTCAACTCATGTTCTTTAAAGAAAAGTTCGTCGGGTTCAATCATCCGATAAAAACAATATCTGAAACCATCACTCAGTGGACCATGCTGGCTCCAGCACAATCAATGTCCTTCTTATGTTGAAGCAGGTGCCTTCAGCGAGGATGTCTCTTCTGGGCTCTCCTCAGCAAATGTTCCACAAGTTCCAAGGACTTATTCTGCGAGTGTTTGCTTCTTTGGTTTCAAGAGTGCAAGTTTCGAAGGGAAGAGACGTAACGAAGCTGCATCGATGGTCAATGCCGAGAAACACTGCTGCTGCTGCTCTCACGGCGCCGTTTCTTCTTTTTCTTCTCCTTCTTATCCTTTTTCTTTTTCCTCAGCACAGCTTGTCTTTCCTCCACAAAAGCCACTCAAGCTCGCTGTACGAGTGGTCCCACACCATCTCATCAAAGGAACTGCAAAAACAACCACTTCAAAACCATCTGGGCAAACCGAAGTCAAAGGCAAAAAACCGAAGTGTTGTGCCAGGTTTCTTCACCTTGGTAGCCACGAAGCCAGTCCAGGGCCTGGGACGGACGGCGTTGCTGAACAACGCAGCAGGGCAAGGATGTTCCGATCCAAACTTAGTAGGTTGGAGGCCATCGCTATTGCCATTGCTATTTGGAGGAAAAGAAAAAAATAAGGGAGTAAGTATAAGACAGTAAATGGAATCATAGTCACCATTCTTAACAGCAAGGATGCTCCGATCCACACCTCTACATGATTTACCGCACAGTTCCTCAAATAGACTTTCACAGCTGCACGTTCTTCTTCAAAGGGAATGCAAGGCCAAGGCACGGATGTGCCAGCGGTGGGTACGGCAGCACACTCCTTGGGCAAACAAGAGCTGCTTCCTTTCATACTCGGACTCCAGATAAGTGCTTGCGTGCCTGGAATGATTGCTGTGTTGTGTTATGCAGGTATGCCCATTGGTTTACACAAGCACCCCTCTGCAGCTGGGCAGCATCATGAAACCTCAGGAGCGGAAAGCGAGGAACAAACTTCAACATTCACAAGCAAAGGACGTGTCTCAGGCTGCGAGACAGTGGCAGTCACAGCGGGCTTTTCGCGTTCAGGAGCGAACCCGAAACCAATGAGGCCAGTCTCCACGCCTTCGAAGCTCAATGGACGTCTTCGAAGTACGAAGCCTCAGGAGCACTCGTCAGTGGAGACTGCTAGAAACCTCAGGAGCGCATCTCACGCCAGGACGAATCTCTCAAGAACTCGCCAATCAGCATGAACTGCTCATTCAGTGTGCCCTCTGCAATGGAGCCCTATGGAAGGGTTGCCACACATCCAAGATGTGAACATCTGGAACTTGCGGAAGGTCGGGAACACTGAGGCATTCTGCCATGGAAGATCTGTTTAAAAGCAAATCCATAGCGCGGCAGCTGGCTCGCATAGGGGTAGGATAGATCGATTGCTCGTTACAAGTCATTGCTTCACCTTCGCCGTCGTGTCGCACTGGTTTCCCTGACAGGAGTGACGCGAGGAATTCTCTTTGAGATTAAACCGGGCCCCGCGTGTTGATAGAGCTTGAGTGTATCAACAAATACCGCAGGGAGAGGATACTATACATATATATATTTTTTTTGATAGGTGAGCCGATATCAGAAAGAGTATGAGAGTACAACGTTGGAATCTCAGAACTGCGTGATGTCACTACTACGGTCCGCAGCTCATCTTGCCCCCAAGCCTGCCTTGAAGACAACATACCAGCAGCGCCTTGCACGGTCTTTTGCACATTTCACCACGCAAACCGCCAGCAGCAGCCCCGACCAAAGCTCCACAGCCATGGAAACGAACGGAACGTCGACACTTCTTTTTCTGAGCGCTTGGGAGGTTGGTCGACACTTCTCTTGAGCCAGAGTCTCTCAGGGTCACTAGAGAAGAGGGTCACTAGACTCTCAAAACATTCTAAAGTCTATTAAAGTCTAAACTCCCTCTCCAAGCTCCACATGTTGCCTCTCCACATCCTGAGGTTGTGACCAGGAGGAACAAAGCTTTGCCCTTGGCTCTTTGACGCCTTCTTCCGCTTCTCCTCCACTGCAAAAGAAAAGAATTGTTGCAAAATCCAGAGAAAATAACCAAGAGCCCAGAAAGATCAAGAGAGAACTGAAAGCCACGCGATGGTCTGTCAAACCCTAGTACCAGCCGGATCAAGTGCTATCAATTGTGTCCCTGTTGCATTGATTCTTTCAGGTGTTTTTTCCCACTCAGGCGCCTCGCGAGACTTCCCCATGAGCCAATCGCTGTGAGTGGCCAAGCAAACATGGCCGTACAAAGAAACATCACTGTGTTTCCCTGATAAGAGTGGATGAACGAATGCTGCAGTGTCGCAAAGCTAAACCGATTGAAAATAGGACACCAAGCAAGGCAAATGACGAACTTCGATGGGGTAAACTGTCTTACCGAACAGGGTTCAACTGGTTTCTCGGTCCATCTGTGGCGAGGTTTGTGGTTCCTTACTTCACTTCATCCTGCGGTAAACTACTCACTCAATCTCCTGGAGAGGTTGGTAGATACCTCTTCGATCATGGCAAAGTCACTCTGTTTGGGAAGAAAGCTGCGCACGCAACAGCGACACGACTCCACCAAGTGCCAATGGTCAAGTGCGAACGACGACTGTCGATCCTGAGCATGGCCAAATAAAGGCATGGGACCAACAATTGCCTGATCTCCAAATGACAAGACCCTATGTGCTGGGGGCAATGAAGTTTGGGCAGCCTAGGCCTTGTGCCTATCATAGGCCCTAAGCTACTGTGTCGATAGGTGGCTAGGGTCCTAGGGTAGGCTGGTGTCCATAGGATGGCCCTAGGCTAGGGGGTCCATAGGCGTCGCACCGTCAGAAAAGTTATTGCTCACTTGCACAACTGCGGAGCATTTGCTTGGCCCGTGCCCACCCACCATAATTTCTATGCGAAGCAAGGAACTAATGGGTATGTCCATTCTATGCTGCAGTCAGCCCCACTTGGCCCAAAAAAAGGAGCAGAAGGCGTAGATAAATGGCCAATAATTTGTTGGCAGCCCCCTATCCTAGGCCTATACCCCCTATCATGGCAATTCTGCGTGGCGCTGGGGGAAATCACACTTCTGCTGCTTCCCCCAGTGTTCTTTGTTAGGCCACCCAGGCTGTAGCCGATTATCTCGCATTTCCCGGCGCATTTGCTCCAGCTCATCCTGATCAAATGGGTAGGCGATGCAGTTTAGTTGCCAGTATCAAACAACGCTATGAAGGATACCCAACCCAACTAGCATCAACAGTTCCAAGCCGGATGAAAGCATGCACCCTTTGCAGCTTAAGGCAGGAAAGTCCTTGCTTTTGAAGACGGTAGCCAAGGTTGAGGTGTTGGAAGGTTCACAGGCAGCTGCCCTTAGTGCAACCAGCTCATAAGAAGTCCAGCACTTAACTTTGGAGGGCATGAGCATCGGATGATGAGATGCCTCAATGGCTTGCTTTGGGGAGGCTATGAAAGGTTTCACCAACTTGCGTTCCAATCCAGCCCTGCAAGGCACCATGCTACTTCCCTGTATTGCTCCAAATCATTCTCTATTTTTTGAAAGCCCAGCAGCTGGGATTCTGATACACCTTGCTCTTCAGGAACACCTCACACAAGTGTGATGTCCAAGTTGAGTCAGCCTGTTGACACTCAACGAGTCTAGTCGGGTTCGTCATGAACCACTTACCACAATCGACACTCTTACATGCTCTTACGAGAGGGGAATGTCCATCAAGCGGAACCAAACAAGTGAAAGACCCCATCCATCGGCCTGGGCTGTGACATGGAGACGACCTCTTCCTGCACCACTCGGTCAACAGTTTCCAGCTGAAATGTTCAGAAAAGGATTGCACTGGCGGTCCTTTCAGCTTGCAAGCGCTCCAAGCGAAGAACCGCAGTCTGCATGGCTGAGGAACAGGAAGCTTCCACAAGCCAGCAAGGGAGGGTGGGAAAAGATTCGACTATATAGACTCACTGATACACAAGGGGTTGGGAAGTACCTTTGGCCAGTATCGCCCAAAGTACAATGAAGAACGTGCTGGCTGTCGAAGGCCTCTGAACAGCGAAGCTACCCACTGACAGCTCACCAAATCCAAAAAGAATAGTTGTGTTCTTCCAAAGGGACGTTGAAAAGTATGGTGGTCGCCGGGCCTGTCTGTGTCCCCTCCCAAATCAACTACTTCAAAAATGTGATCAGGTCCACTTAAAACTTTGCAAACCTACTGACCCACAGCAGACATACTTGAAGGACCAATAGCTCAACTGGTTCCATCCATTTCCCCGACCTTCTGCGCTTCAAGAGCTCTTTGCCGCAAGGCTGCCTCAGGGCTGCACTATCGGCAGCAACAGAAAAGCCGCAAGACTTTTACTGCAAAGCAGGAGGATCATAGATGTTGCACAAAGAAAATTGAGAATGAAATGTGTTTAACACTGCTCAACAAACCCACGGAATTTAATTCTAAATTCTACATTCTAAATTCTAGTAATTTAATTCTATATAATTGCTTTTAATTATTGTTTCTAATAGCTTCTTGTTACTACTAGTAAGGCACTTGTTACTAGAAGCGATGCGCTTGTTACAAATAGCTTTATTGCTACGAATGAAATGTTTTTAACACTGCTGCTCAACAAACCCACGGGAATTCCAAGCTGGAAAGAAAGCCCCAGACGCTGACGGTGCGGGGCCGCCGATCATATTCCTCGACAGCTTTCACGGTTGGAATTGGTCCCTGCTCTTCTGCCGCAAAGTAAGTTTCCGGTGTCCTCGTCACCTTTCATTGTTAGTTCCAAAGATTGTCCAAAAGCCCTTCTATCACACAGCAACCAACTCAAAGAACTCCAAAGCAATAGTAGTCCTCCCGAATCCTTGCCAAGCAAGCAGAAGCTGACATGGCCAATGCACATGGAAAAAGTCAGCATTTGCTGCTTGGTTTTTGTGTCAGAACATCCTGCTTTCACTGCCATTGCTATTAGGTTGGAGGCCATCCATCGCTCTTAGCTTGGAGGCCATTGCTATTCGATTCCTTTTGCTAGTAGGTTGGAGAAGAAATCAGAAGCTGGGAAGCACAGTGAAGACACATCCGGTTTCCCCAGCGGGCGGTGCGAGTTCGTTGGCACATCATTGGAGGATTTGTTGACATTTGTTGTACTGTTCATTTGCGCATCCGGTTGACTTTCTTCGGACAACATCCGGTTCCTTAAGTTTAAGGATCACACTGATCAGTGTGCATCTTGAGCCCAAAATTAACCATGCTCGTGTTCCTCTTGCTTCTTTCTGGTACGCGGGACTGCTCCCAGCATTCCTTAACTATTCGTGAGAAAGCTAGGAAATAGCGACGAGTCAGCTCTTGATGCTCTTGCTTCTTACCAATTCCTTTTTTTGCAAGCAATGCCAATCGATCCTCACGCCGTGACGTTGCGCCAGTAAATATCTGATGGCACCAAGAACGGCACATCAACAGTGGCCTGGTCACTCGCAAGCGTGGCTGGGACCAATGACCAGGGATCTACTGTCATCGGGACCGAGCTCCACACGTTCCCAACGAAGACACCACCCTGATTCGTCTGTTGCCCTTTGGACCGGAGAAGGTGCCCAACCACCTCAAGTGACAAAGCTTGAGCATGCCCAAGCAAGGTTGACATCAGGTGTGGGCATAGAATGCCAAGAGGTTTGTCGAACTTTGTCAAGCTGGCCCAACTGGCCTTGTTGCACCTGACTTTGTCTCCATCTGCCACGAAAGTACCAAAAATCCCCAACTCGGCAACCTCAGCAGTCTGCCAGTCAACTTGGCAATCGTTTGCCCCACAAGAGAATTGAGGTGTGATATGTGTGATGGAATCAAGCGTGATTTTCAGAGCCACTGGTCTTTAATCGCTTGAAGAAAGGAGGTAATCTTCATCGTCTTCACACACGTTGGCCCAACAGACTTGGACCGCTTGAACTCCAAGAGGCAGCACGACGTACTAGCACAGCTCCGTCATGCAAAATGGCTGAGGGAGTACATGGAGGCCTCATGCAAAGAGCAGTCCAGAGGTTGACCATGCACTTACTGTAGCAAAATCTTCTGCAAACTCTTAATCTCATTGGGTGTGGTACACACCCAAACAAGTAGGGCATTGGAGAGGAGATGAATCACTGCAAACGCAGCTTGTACAGGCCTGTCCCAATTTTTGTTGCTGCCCATGCACTGACATACCCGGCTACACAATAGATCCGCCCATACCAATGCTTCCGTTCACTATGAATGGAAGACTGTCAAGCTTCCTGACTCCTTGCAGCTCCCACTGCACTCAGCGCCATCCGTTTTTCACCCGGCCTCACTCGTTCCATGAGGATGAACTCTGCGAGCTGATCTTCACTTCGCGACTCCAAGACACCTTGAACCACCCCGTCACCACAAGGGAGTCGCTCGGTAACTCCAAATGGTTGAAGACCACGAAATCGAAACTGGCTGAGACTTCTTGAACACCAAATGTATGTGAATTAGTTTTACGACATTTTACGACTAGGTCTGTACCTTGGTGAACAAAAGTAATTGGAACATGAACTCCGGCGGTGTCCAGTCTAGGTGTTCAGTAGTGTTAGTGTTCATCAAATTCCATTTATCAAAGCAGATCTCTGTCCAAACATGCCATGAAGGACGCGGAATGTCATCATCGAAGTACAGCTCTCCAGAACCTTCCACCTGCATAGACCGAGCCAATTTGAACTCCGTCCCAGTGAACTCCCACGTTTTGGAGCCAGTTTGGTGCGACGAAGACTTCACCGAGGTTTTTGCCTGCGGCTTGAGGACCCAATCTCCAGGGCTTTTGCGGGCAGCCTGCGGAAGAGCATGGACTGGCTGCATTTCAAAGAAAAATTGTTTTCTACCGGTATAGTATAGTATTTGTCATGGGAAGAAAGATTTCCGCTCCGGGATGTTGTGCTGGACACATGTCGACGGAAAAGAAACACACCTGGCCTTTCATGAGTGCGCAAGGGAATGGCCGACGCAGTTTGCACAATTCTTGTGAAATGTTCCTACGACTCCAACTCTCGGGGCTGAGGTGCTGTTCAACGTCGTTCTTCGGCCACTTGTGTGTTCACCCCGCCTGCACCGCCTCACGGGTTTCCACGGAGGTGTTGCTCGGATCAAACTGCTTGGCGAACCTCAGATCGCACCCAGACTGGAATGGAGAAAATCTAGGAAAATGTTGACAAATGATCGCTGTTTTTTGGTGGGCCTATGAATACAGGAAAAGCCTTTGCCAAAGCTTTCGCAGCTGCAAAGGGTGCCTACGCGGTGCACATATTTATCAAAGGCCTACGCTCGAACGCTTTGGCAGTGCATCGGACAGATCCTTTTCTTCAGACAGAAAACATCATTCAGTGTCAGAGGCAGATGAGGGTGAAGTAGCAGGAAGGCGAGGCAGCTTGCAAGGCAGCAGTCGTTTGACGGTGATGATCGGTGATGCTTTGCAGCTTGCTTTTGTGGGCGAGCAGCAGCTTGGGACAGCAAGGCTTCTTCTCCACAAAGAGCTAGGAGGTTCTGTGACCGGAAACGGCCAGTGCCGTCCGAAAGGGGATTGGTTGGATGGAGGCTGTAGATGCTTTCGCGGAGCTTTCGCGGGCTTTTGTGGGGATCAGCTTAGATTGTGTTTTTTTACGGTTCCTGCGACAGCAATTGTAAGACCACCCTGCGAATATCAATCCCAATGGCACAGCGACACAAAGCGCCGACTTCACGCCTGCGCAGTCAAATCATCATTCACTCTTGAACATGTCACGCTGCTACACTATTTCACACGAATCTGACACTTCCTGCTTCCATCCAAAACCAAAGTTGCGGGAAAAGTTGCTCGACCAAAGTCTCAATGCACAACTCTAGTAGCTACACTGGAATGAAGTGCTGTGAGATTGTGTACACACGTGAGATTATATAATACATCCTTGCCTATACCTATACTTGTCTTCACTGTATATGTATACATGTGCCAAGTTGCTTTCGCGGTTTGCTTTCGCGGCTCAAAAATTGGGAGGCTGCGCAGGACGCTTTCGCAAGATTTCGCAGAACAAGAAGCTTCACACTTTTGTTTTCGCGGAAAGTTAACAAGTTCCACTTTTGCATCCTTTCAAATGAAAAAAAGAAATGTTGCTCAAATGACCCAATACTCAATGGAAACTAACTTGGTAGTGGTCAAACATCTAGAGCTGACCTTTTTGTTCCTTTGAAGTGGCCCTTCTTTTGGGACCCATACCCAAATCCAATCAAATTCAATCGAACACAGCCTCGAGTGGCCCTCTCTAGGCTGTTTTTGCCACCCCACATGGACACCGTGATCGATGGATATCATCCCAGCAACGTGCTGGACACCGCAGCTGCCTGCTCCTCGGACAAAAACCTGGACAACTCGGCGCTGTCACAAAGGAGTTGTTGCACCTGCACACGAGGTGACACAACGTGCACAGCCAGTGCACAGCGACCTATAGTTGCTCATGTTCGCGACATGAATATCATCCATGTACGGACTATTCTGTGCTTTCTTCCAGAAGTGATGTCCAAGTGACCCTTGGCTTCCTGCTTAAGATTTGAGGAGGCTTCACTTCACATCTTCATAGGTCACCATGGCAGAACAATCTGAGTTCACAAGTCTTAACACATCACAATACTCCCCAAGCAGCGTCCAACTCCCAACATGTCAAAAACCGAAGTCCCACGCCGTGCGGCCGTGCCTTCTTCATCCCAGCCAGCTGCGCCGGAGCCGAGGGGCACTTGGCCGCCTCGGAACGCTCCAGCTGCTGCCGACAGAGCCAGGCACCCTCGAAGTGCTGCGGCCAGTAGCCCGAGCGGAAGTAGGCCACCGTGACCTGAAAAAGTCGAAGTGACAACCTTGAGTGGAAAAAGGTGACACGTGTCGCCTTCGAGCCTCGAGCGGTGACACATCACGGAAGAAAACTGTTGACCGCCCACCAAATAGACACACTTGCTGCTGTCCTCGTAGCCATCGACAACCAGGGCCATGGGTTGCCGCACGTTTGTCTGACAGGGACGATGGTCTCAATTTATTTGGATCATCGGACTATATCACACCTTCCAACTGTCAAAACTCTTGGTCTTTCTGGACTTTCCAATCACTAAAAAACTCTTCTCACTTCTCAAGATCTTCTACCCAAAGCTCAAGAAAACGCACCTGCTTTCGCGCCACCAGGGGCCGCAACTCGCAGGTGCGACTGAGCTGCGCCAGAGATCTGCGTAGCGAACAAATGCCTTGCTGAAAAGCCGCGAGCTCCAGCTTCCTGGAAAACGCCGCGTGTGACGCGTGTCGATTCCCTTTTCTCCGTCGATTTCCGGGTGGGAAACCCCACCAAAGGCAGCAAAAGTCAACCAAAGCGAGCAAGAATTCTATGCCATACCGTCTATATAAACGAATGGCATGCTTAAAATTGCTGCCCGAAAACGGCCCCTTTGGGCACCAGCTCGTTCCTCTGGAAACACACTTCTCCTGTGGTCCAGCTCGTTCTTCTCCTCTTCCAGGACAATGAAGAGCACTACTCGGGGTAAGCCAAGTGGCTCCCACCGAGAGCTGTACGCCTCAGGCACGACAACTGCCCGAGACACACAGAGAGAACTTGATGGAAATGTCATCGGGGCACGCCCTCGTCCTATCGAAAGGTTCCAAACTCCATGAGTCTGCGGAGTGAGCCTTGCTCAACACCTTATTCCCAAAAACCATGGTTCTGCCAAGTGTGCCTCATGTGCCATAGCGATAGCTTCTGCCATACCTTCCATGGCTGCACTTCGAGGCAATCCCGGCACGTCACCGGATTGGTCCGGCAAGTACTTCCTCACAAGATGCAGATGTGATGCAATAAACGGGTTATTCTACCAAACACAAACGGTGTTGATGAGTATCATTGATCTGTCCACCGACAGGGTTTGTCTAAACATCTTTCAACTCGAGGGACGGCCTAACAAAAGAATGTCCATGAAGCCGTAAGAAACAGGAAGCAATCCCAGCTTCAATGTGTTTATAGACTAGCACGCTGCGTGCAACCTTTGTAGAACTCCAACCAAGGTTCGACAGGAGGTATCGATGTACCTCTGTCAAGTCCTGCCCATGACCTGCAAAGGAGGCAGACATCATGTTCCTCAAGAGCACAAGCAATTGCAGAGCAGTTCAGAATGCTCAGTCAGCAAAAATGGAAATCCCACTGTATCCCACTTCTGCTCATCCATGTCCAAGGGTCAGTTCAATTTGAATCATTGCCCCCTCAGAGCCCTTCTGTGTGTCCAGCATGAAGTCATTTCGCATGAGATGGAGTCGGATCTCTTCTTTGGGGTCCTGCAGGTCTCCCACATCGAGCTAAGCACTGCCACAGCACTGCTCATTCAGCAAATCCTACTTGCAGTGCTGCAGTGCCTTGAAAAAGCGGTCCTTTCCAGTCTCCGCATTGTAGACACTCCGGCAAATCTCCAGTAGTTTGCTGCAGATCTCGTCAATAGCGCCGGTTTTTGCCAAAGCGCGTTCGAGCCACCCAATGTCACCTGAATGCGGGCTGCGTTGAAAGATGGAACACTAGAATCGCAATGAACCCTCGACACTTGCACTGCCAAACACAAGTGGAATGAGACGTGAAAGAACCGATTCATTTTGTTTTACGGCTACAAGCACTCTGATGTCCATCTCTCTCTCTCTCTCTCACTGCATTCCATGCACACAAAAAGTCAACAACGGTGGCCGGCACAAACACTTTGAGAGCATGGCAGAAAGAGTTGTATAAACCATGGAATCTCTTCAAAGACTTCTGAATTACAAAGCTATATAAAATTACATCTCTGCCCAAGAAGAATAAAGGTTACAGAGAGCTTTGCAGCCACCACACAAGTTATCTTGTCCATCAGCAAATGAAAGTCCGGCCTTGGAGCGTACTATGTTCTTGTCTCTAGACTCTAGACCAGCTTTAAGCACAAAATCCCCTCACACGAAGAACTGCAACAACCAAGTGAGAGTCAGAGACCATTTTGTGCTAGTTCTTGGTGCAAACACGATACGTGAGCTTCTTCGCCAGCTGAAAGTAATTGTCTGCAAAAGGACAGGGAAGCAGTGTCATTGGCACCACAGCAGCCTGAACAAAGCAGCTCATCACTCGCGTTTCTGAAGTCCTTCCTGTACAAATCTTGAGTTCTTGAGCCTCGCCTCCCTCTTGTTGCTTGGTGTCGGGTACATGACGATACCACGCGCCATAGCACATGCCAAGGCATCATCCACAAACTCAGTGGAGGCAAGTTTCTTGACCTTATCCTGGCAAACCCGAACACCAAGTCACTGGCACATGCACCATTGTGTCAACACCAGCACAGGACCCTCAAGTGCCTCGTCCAAAAGAAGTCCAGCAATGTCTCGCTCCAAAGTCTTAGGCCTCTTTGCGTCCGACATGGCAGCGCTGCCAAAAGGGACAGGGAAACCTAGATCTGAGCCGCCACAAACAGCAAGCGGGCCTAGCAAGTGCTGTAGTGGGAAAGATTGACTGTGTTTGCCAATGCCAATCACCAAAGAAGGACTTTCGTAACTGGTCGGTCTGAGGGAACACAAGGGCTTGAAAGACTTTTCTGACCAGCGAAACGTGATCTTCACCGCCCAGCAGCGACTGACACTTCGGTAGATCTCTCCTGGCGGCAAAACCAAAACATCTGATGAGTGAAAACCCAAAACAGTAAGAGAGCAAGAGCGGCGCACTAACACGCCTAACTTCAATGTGGACTTCAATACTGCGCTACTGTAAGTGTGACCTAAAACGAAATGCCGGAAGCATTTGGTCTGTTGGGAGCACAGTCTTTTTGTTCCTGCACCGGGATGATGTATAGGCCAAGGCTTGTTGCACATTGTGGTGTAACAAGACACATCAGTGTGCCACAGTTATGTAATGTCACGCAAGTCGCTGAAGTCTTCACGTCGGCACCAGAAACAGGGCAATCACACAGGAAGACCGTGAGCTCTGAGTTTCTCAGTGAGCCATGTCTTGGCCTTCTCGTCTGCGGAATGACTGCATGGGAGCACCACCATGAGATCCATCGGCCAAGACGCGCATTCGCCTTTGAGTCTGACCAGTTGGCGAAGGCGTGGCGCCGTGCGCAAAGCGTGGGCGACGAAAGGCCACATGCTTTTCACATGTTCCGCAGGCGGCAGTGGGGAAGGTTGCAACCCGCCCTCTCGAAGAATCAGTGGCCACATCTGCTTGAGGTGCTCTTCGCATCCCTTCTCTGTCAAGACTTCCAAGTCGTTGACGTGCTTTGCAAGGTCTCCTTTCATCACGTCCAGACACTGTTTAGTCCTTTTGTGCAAACCGTACTTTACAGCATGTTGCAATGCTTGGCCAGTGACCGGAACTGATGCCAATAAATAGGCTTCGCATTTGTCCTTTAAGGAATCGACCTGATATTCTTCAGCCCAATGTGTCAGAAAAATGGCTGTTTCTTTGGTCAAGGGCTTCATGGTGCAAAGCTGCAGCTCTTTGTAAAATGTATCCAGCTCGGTGAACTTCTTTCCAGGGAGTTGAATGGACGTCCCAGAGCCCTCCTTCATAGCACTGCTCAACATTTTGGCAAAAACGGGCGACGCATATTCCAGAATTACCGAATGCACTTCGAGCTCACCGTCATCCACGACAATCTTCAAGTCAGGCGCACTCCGGGGCCGCTTGGCGGGTGACTCATCTGATGAGCACATGGGAGGAAAGCTTGATATATAGCCGTGGATGCTTGCTGCTTTCTTAGTAAACCTGCAACTAACATGTACTAGATTGTGCTTCCTAGAATCCTAGAAGGCACTACCACACCTGCGAGGGCGCTCTTCGAACTGAAGGCACTTCTCACTTCGGGATTGAGCCCAGCAAAAGCGCTTCCCACAAGCTCCCACACGAAAATTCTCCCAAGTCATTTCAGACCTGAAGACAGGACGCCTGAGTTCATCAGCTTGGAATAGGAAATGTTGAACTTAAACCGCTTTGCTGCTACATGCTGCTACCCTCCCCAAAACCAAATACCGCTTGAAGATCGGATTTTGTTTTGCTCCGGTCCCGACTTTGGATCCACAAAGTACCAAACCTTCGTCCCTGGTCTCCGTAGCACGTGCAGGGGCATAACATGACCACAGAGGTCTGCGGAGTTTTTTCTACTGAAACCATAGAGGTCAAGCACCACCCAGCTTCTGAAGTCAAGCACTAAACCAAACCAGCGAACAATCAATGCTTTGAACACCAAGCTGGTCTCTTTCTCCTATGCATCAAGTTTTGATGCAAGACTATGACTAAGACTATGACAGAGGATGGGCCTCAAGAGTTCACCGCGAAGAACCCCCTGCACCGGGAAGAACTCCCCGCCTAGGGCCTTGTCCATCGGCGAAAGTCAGGCCTTGCCGAGAGTACCGTTGAACATGGTCTTCAGTCTGCAATTCGATCCAAGCACCAATTTCAGAAGTCACGCAAGGTGCTGGATTGAAGATTGAGAACTTGGAAAGTAGACCTCTTCACACCTGCCTCCTCCAAGACATGGCAGCACAAAGCAGCACGTCGCCCCTTCTGTGGTTTGCAGATAGGTGTGCTAGGTATTGTACCCCCCGTGATATTGCTGAAAAAAGCTGTGCCCTGTAAGACTACAAAACGAATGCTGCAATTGATTGAATTGCTCAATAGCTTAAAATGCCAACACCTTCAAACCTTGACTTCTGCCTCTGAAGTTGCCCAAAATTGCATCATCTTCACACAGCAACATGCACCAAAAATGACAGCAATGAATGGCTCGCCTGCATGCAACACGGGTTCTGCAAAGGCAACCGCGGTGTTTGGTGCAACACAGTGAGAGAATCGCTCTCGAGCTTCGTCTTCGTTCGTCGCTTTTGGCCGCACCCCGTCACCGTGGTCCAAAGAGGTATCCCCCAAACCCCGTGGTCACCTGCAGACCTGGTGACACACCAAGACCTCATGGCCGGAAGTCTGTCCTTGGTGAAACACAGGAAATCACACCATGCCAGCAGCGCTACCTACAGCAGCGCTACGTTCAAACACTCCACCTACCAGGCTACCATGGACCACCTTCGTGTCCAATTACTCCACCTACCATGGACCGCGTTCTTCGATCTTCTATGCCAAGTGTCCAGCGTGCGTCTATGCTCCTCTGGGTAAACATGTCCGATATCAACTGTTGCCTCAAACCTTCTTGCTTGTCGTCCTGAGAGAGACCGCACACATGAATCACTGAAACCACCTCACCAGAACTCATGTGCAAGAGACAGTCATTGGCATTGGTGTGCTTGCAATCAGTTTTCCTTACAGAGTCTTCGGGCACTGTTTCTGTTTCCACAGCTCGAGGCACATCCACGATCACCAAATGGTCGGGCGCCAGCAGAACCACGATGCCGTTGCAATAAACACCATCCAAATGCCGGGCCACGGCTGCACCCAAGGGTCCCGCCCATGCCTTTCGCACTGCACATATTGCCATGGGCTGTTGAAATTATACAGTTGTTTTCCCAGAGCCTGGCTGCCACATCCTGGATATGTAAGTGGAGAGGTGACTTGAAGAAGCCTTGCACGCAGTGCAAGCAGTCCATCTTGAGCAAATTAAATAATACATTCAAGGAATCTGGACCTCTGAAGCCTCTTACAAACCCTCCGATCTGTGCGAGTCCACATGGTCCGCCTTAAAGCTTTCAACGATCTGCACTGCACCACGCGGACAGAGGTGTCCTCACATGAGTACTTCGCTGAAAACCATCCATTTGGTCTATCCTAATACCTGCAACCGTGGACAATGATGGTTAGTAAAGGCCTTGTTCAAAAAGAGTAATCATTGTTTACTGACTGTGACAGGTAATAGGACAGACCCGAACCATCCAAATGATAGATGGGCAACTCAAAGCTTGAGAAGTGGCAAATCAGAAAACTCCAAAAGCACGCTGCAGTCAACACATTTGATTCAACAAACATTGTCCATGCTATCTTCAAGTGCTGGAACTAAACATTCTCCTGCATCTGTGGCGTTTGACCGTAAATCCAAGTAGCATCAACGTGAAATTCCTGCAAGGGAAGCCAAACATGGCGTCTGGCACGAATCCCTTCCAAATGCAGTGCTAATAGCAGCTGAACCGGTGTGCCCCACCTGCGGGCTGTCGCTAGGAACTCCCTGTCAATGTCTCAGGAAACTCCACCAAGCGGCCACGATTCTTGGACACTGCACTATTCCAAAAAAAAAGAAGCTGCAAAGGCCTGGGTGAAAAGCATTGTGGAAATTGGCAACCTCACATCCTCAGTTTAAACATCTGAGATTCGATGCATCCAAACATCTGTACTACCGTTCTATTGTGGGACACATGAGAAAAATATCCCTCAAATGTGGCTGGCCTCCAAAGCAGCGACTTGGTTCCCATCCAATGGGCGCTTCATCGTCCGATGCTGAAACATGTAACAACCTTTCATATCCTCTGGGTCAACCTGCTGACATCAAAATTAAAGTGCGAATTCCATACTTATTATGCAATCTTCATGTGTCACATGTTCAAAGCATTTTGCAAAACGGAAAACGGCTAAAGGCGGGGAGGCATCGAAAACTGCAACTCATGTGTCCCACAAAGAAAAAAAATCAGATCGTGGACTGCAAACCTTTGCAAAGTCCCAACGGACAAGGGCCAAAACACAAACATGATTTTCAACAAAATACATAGCTATTCAAAAAATATCATTTCGGATGTTGTTGTTGCTGCTATTTGACTTAGGCCATTGCAATGCGAGCACAGGATCTGATGATCTGATAGTGCTAGCTACGCGGGTTTAACAACAACAAAAAACACATTCATGCAGAACATCACAATCTCACCAAAAAAACAAGATGGAACCCCTCGACCCGACTGCAAACATAAACTCGGAGAGCAGGGAGAGGCCACAGAGGGAGGAGACGTTGCAGAACGGGAGCGGACCCCATTTCCTGGCTCGTAATGTCCTTGAGAGCACACTGAAGAGGAGTCATTGACCTCCCATACGCTGGCTACCTCATGCTCCTCTTGCTGTTCGACGACTGAGTCATCAGTTGCCGCTTCTTCTTCCCTGTCTTCGGCATCCTCATGAACGGGCTTGGGTGAGTCACAGCTGCTGATTTCGTGCACCGGTGTCTCATCCTCACCGACTGAGGAGGTGACCGTACCAGCCGACGGTGCTGCGGGCTCAGATGCCTGGGTGGGGGAGCCTTCTTCTTCTTCTTGGCTGCTGCCCGAGACTGGTTGGTCATGAAAGTTTTGTACGCTGTGCGTACTGTCAGGCGATGGAAGAAGACTTGGCTGACCATCGGAACCGAACAGGTCGAGGTCATCAGAGGCCAAGCTGCCAGCACGCTCGCCAGTGGCCGGGGGCTGCGTATCAGCCGAAGTAGTGGCTGCAGGGCGCCAATAGCATCCTTCCTGTAGCATCCCTGGTGCCGGCGGCGGCGGCAAGGAGGAGTTCTCTCGATCAAGTATCGGTTCACTCCGCCATGCATCATAAAAGTAGATTTTATGCAGGGCTTCAAACTGGTGCAGCCTTGCCTTGTTGGCTACATCACTTTTGCCAGGCGGGTAGCGAACAGTGCTACCGACCGTGAAACGTGAGCCACCTGCTTTGCTGACCGTATGAAGCAGACGCCAAGCTCCGGGATGACTTGTGTCTGAGACGATGAGCCAATCAGGGTTGGCAAGTCCATCTGCTGCATAGCCAAACAAAAGTCCGCTGCCATGAAGTGGATGGGTATGATTCAGGAACTGGCTTTGTTCGCCTTGCGAGAGACAACCTTGCTTTGTGAGAACCAGCCTGAGGCGTCTCACCTTCCCTTCATAATGTTCAGCAAGGCACAGGGGGGCTGGCCCCTCCCACAGGGGGTGTGGCTCGGTGGCCTTGAGAAAGGCGGCAGTCTCAGCTTGAACATCTAAATCGCCAATTTCAAAGGACCCCGCAACTTGGGCAGTGCTAGGCACTGTGTCGCTGGTGTGCAGGGTGCAAGCACCATGCAGAAGTGCAGCACCCTCAAGACCGTGCATGTTGAGCGGGCACGCTAGAACCGTTAGGTCCGTGGCTCTGCTAAGGGCCACATTTGCTCTGGTGTAACATTCTTTGTCGAAGTCAGACCTGTTGGAGTGGCCACTGAGAAAGCTGGATTGGCCATGAAGGACAATACAATGCTTTGCCGTGGCTCCTGCAACCTTGACCGCTGTCTCGACGTTGGTATTGCGGCGGGACTGGTGACAGAAGCTACGAAGGCTGGTGGCACTGTCCTTTCTAGTGGTCAAAACTAGAATGTTGTCTGGTTCCTCAGCCTGGACTGCTAGCCATGATTCAATCTGGAGGTAAACCGCCCTCGTGGATTCTGGCGGGGGATCGGCCCGGGTTGCTTCACGAGGGTGTGAAAACACAGTAGCAACGCGCCCTTTTCGGTCCCGCTCCTTGAGCCAAAGTTACAGTCATTTATAGACTGTCTTCAAATGTCCTCTTAGCTTCTTAGAAGCACATCCACTCTTCTTGAAAGAGTACATGACTGTACCTAGTCATCTCCAAACTACACAAACTGCAAGGAAACTACATCAAACAGTCTCTAAAGACATCGTGCTCTACCAAAAGGTTCTCTAAGCAGTTCCTAGCCACAAGTTGCCACTTCAAACATCCTCCTGCTAAGGTGGTCAAAGGTCAAACACAAAAAGGGCACAGACCTCCACTCAGCTCCAACCCCAAGCACTCCAAAAACGAAAATTCCCTAAAGAAGCCTAGGTGAGCCATACACTGTACACGTGCGCTGTACGCTACTTTTCACACCCCTTCTTGGGTCGCCTAGGGCCACCTGCCTTCTTCTTCTGTCTTCTTCTCTCCTTCTGTTCGTTTGAGCAACTGAGGATCAGACATCAACTAAGATCCAAACTTCTGCCCTCAAAGGTGATCTCAATGACATCAATCCAGAGGTAAACTCGAGCTCAACCCAAGCCAAACTCCAGATCCATCAAAGAATCAACTTCGACCTTCAACCAACACGCATTCAACCAAGGACAAACGTGCAAGAAGGATCCCTCAGAGGTGGGTCATGGAATCTCATGGGTTGATTCCTTATTTCATTGACCCTTTCAAACCTCATCATCGAGATCCTCGAAAGCACAAGGCTTTCAAGGACAACTTACCTGTCAGCTCAGGAAGCAAAAGGTGATCTAGAGTTACCATGCCGTGCAAACCTCTGACCTCAAGACCTGACAAGTTCACAAAGTTGACATCTACTGCAAAAGATGAAAACTCCCAAGGTTACCTAGACACAAACTTGCAATGAACATAGTTGCAAACAAGCACAAGTGAACTCGCAAGAAACTCGCTGGAAGCTAAACCTGCGATGAACGAAGCTCCAAGCAACTGCACAAGACATCACAAGAAACTCTCTCTAGAGGTTACCTGGTCATGAACTGGGTTCCAAACATCCTGAATCAAGTGAACTCGTCTTGCCACAGCAAACTCAAACTCAAAATCACAAACCCTTTGCCACACTGCACGTGTCTAATTCCACCTGCCTTTCTGATCTGCCTTTCTCTTTCTTTTTCCTTTCTTCCTCTTGCTTCCTCTTGCTTTCTCTTACTTCCTCTTGCTTTCTCTTGCTTTCTCAAGACAAGATAAAATCTTCAAACATGAACTCCCCAAGCAACAAGCAAGCAAGACACGAACAAAATGGCCTCCCAGTCATATTTCCATAGATTCAACCTGACATCACACGTTCAAGCATGCCTCAAGCCAAGGTCAAGCCAAGTTCAAGCATGGTGGCACATGATGTTCTGAAAACACAAGGAAACCCTAACCAAGATGATCTTCTTTTTCTTTTTCGTGGTGCAAGCTGCTGGGCCGCGACAAATGGCCTTCTAAAAATCATGCCATTCCTCTGATGGCATCTCGCCTGTCAAGGCACTACAAGGTAGGATCAGGCTCCCAACCTTTTGGGATAGTCATGACAGATCCATCAGCCAATTTCACTCGCTTGAACCCTGGGGTTACAGGATCCACCTTAGACATAGGCAAGTACAAGTGCAAGTAGAAAAACAGTACGTCATCTCGATTTCCTTAGGAAAGAGGTAGCTATCCGGAAAGTCGGTCAAGCAAAACTGGATTCCAAGGCTCCTGCTGTCCAAAAACATCTTCACCAAAACAGCATTTCACACACAAGAAACTTGAAAACAAATCCACAAGACAGCTTTGGGCTATTTCACAGTGAATGCTTCCAATCCAGATTCCAAAAGGCACAAATGCGCATGCATTCAATTCTGCAAAACTCAAAACACTGCACCCCAGAACAGAAGGCTCCTAAATCAACAAGAAACAGTCCTCCTACACCTCCGAACCTAGTCGGACCTCAACGACTGCTCTCGGACACGTCCTTCCACTAAAGTTCTGTCACCGTGACAAAGGTTCCAAATCTCCGTGCTACCAAGACAAAACGAAACCAAACTCTTCCAAACAAGTTCGGACACAGCCGGACAACAACGGAAACACACAAAAACAGATTCAGAAACTCTCCCAAGTCAAAGTGCATCTCGAAAAACTGTTCCGGAAAAAGCGCATTCGACAAAGTTCAAACTTCAGCAGGCACAATGCCCAAAGCTTCCGTCACCTTCCGATCCCCAACGGACGAAAAATGCAAGAAACACGCACGATGAGCATACTCCCCTTCTCGAACTGAACGTTCACCGATCGGAAGTTCGTCGTCATCGGCGTCTCGAGACAAGCCCCTCAACAATGCTGCCTTATCTTCATCCAAACCAGGTACAAGTCCTACAGCATTGCAGAGGTTCAGCCACATCTCAATGAGCTTGCAACTCTTCGTGAGACCGTCGGACGGGTTGGAAACACCTTCCCAATGTTCCAAGGTCAAGCGGCGTCGTCGATGAAGGTATTTGACGTAGTGTGCACGCAGTTCCATGTGCTTGACACGTCGGAGCAAACCTTCCATGGTCGATATGGAAATCGCCGCTTTCCCATCGTTGTACAAGTGAAGCTGCATGCTGTCAAAACGGGTGGTGAGCTAGCAGGCATCTGCTGCACAAAATGCAAATGACCCTTCAACCAACGAAGAAAGCTACGAAGACAAATCTCTGCTGGAACATGGGGCTTCGACTGAAATCGACTCAAAAACCCAACAGGAAAAGCAAGGTCTGCCGTGGAGAGTGCTGCCCACGCAAGTTGTCCGAGGACCCTACGGTAGCGCTGTGCTTCCGCGGCGGACAGTTCAGGAGTCCCGAACTTTTTCTCTGCGTCTTTTAGCAGCTCCTCCAGTTTGGGCATGGCTGAACCGGTGGATTCTTTGAGCTTCTCTTCCCATGAAACAAAGATGCCTTCCATGTAGCTCCTGGAAACTCCAAAGTACAGACATTCCTCTCCGTCACGGCGTCGGTATATCGTGCGGCCTAAGAATTCCAGGAGTCCTCTC